TCTTTCATAGCTAACACCCCACCAAACCATCACTGAAGTCGGATAATGCCCACGTTGTACTCTGTTGACCAATTGGTAAGCTTCCTTAGAGCTTTGGATATAAATACGGTCATTTTGTTTGTTAAAATATTGTTTAATTGTAAAAAAAAAATCATCTGTATTTTTTTATTTCTGGGACCTCCCTTTGCGTACCGCTTAAGTAGTTGTTTTGATTTTACCACCCTATTTTTTTTAAATTATCTGTTAAGAAATGACCATTGCGTCTCTTATAGGCTGCAAGTCCTAAGTTATCTTTTAAAATACGCGACATGGTTTTAGATACTATCTTCATCTCCCGAAATAAAATCCATTGCTTTCGGACAGGATTTCTTCGAATTCCTTTCCTTATAGCTTTAATCGCCTTTTTGGTACGAACACTACGTGGACCGCCAGATCTTTTCTGTCACAAATAGAGGAAGTTTCATTGTACCTATCAATAGCCCGGTACACAAACATTTGACTAATACCAAGCGTATGGAGAATTTTAAAAATTGTATTTGGCTCCATACCTACTTTGTGTAATGCAATCACAGCGATTCGGTTCTCTTTATCACCCCACTCCATTTTAATATTACAAAATATTTTACAATGTATTGGCGCGAAAATGAACAATCAATGAACAATCATATAAAAATGACAGATTCCAAATTCAAATATAATATTGTGTTAACAGTATTTATGGCCAGACTATGTATAATGACGTGAGATATTTTATTAGATAATAAAAACAGAGAAGAGCTGTGGTGAAAGGACGCTGCCTTAGCGGAACCCCAGCCGTGAGATTCAATCACACATGACACAGGTGAAGTTTCAGTATTGTAATAATCTCTATTAGCGTACGTTTTCACTTTTCTCAAAGCAGTTTTAGTTGAAACATCTCCGTATTCGGAGCAAGTATGTAGTATGTACAGAGTGAGCTTCAACATTAGGAATGTCGCACTATTTTTAAATCTCGATTGGTGTTGTATGGTTGATATATTTTTTTTAAACTTTAAAATCTCTTCAATTACGAAGGTAATTTTTACTATACACGGGCCTAAGCCAAGTGAAAAGTAAGGGAGGGGTAAATTTAAAGATTGTTATTATTATGAGTTATGTAAGATATGCAATGCGGATATCCGGACTTTGATCGATGCGGCATGATCTCTTCATACCCATGTTCTAAAGATCGCGCGCCAAAATATTTAATGTTATTATAACTTCGCTTTCATCGTGCGTCTGTTTACATTATCATATTTTTATTAGTAGGAAACAGCATCCTCCCTCTGGGTCCAAGCTATTCACTGCTCAGTGTAAATGCACGCGCACGTGTTGAGCTTACACGTGCAAGTATACAACATAATTGCCATATTAAGTTTCACTGAATGTTTACAAAAATACATATATGGTGTTGCCGGATTTGGCAATTAATTGGTGGCAATAAAGGACAGGTAATGTCACACACTGTCTTGTCTCCCGAAGTCATCACGGCATGTTCCATAAACTTGTAAAGTGCGCGCCCTCGGCAATCACGGATCTGACGCGTACTATTACTAACTATAATTTACGAGGTGCAGACACAAGCAATTTTCTATTATTTGTTTAAGACAAAAAATATTAATAGCTTAGAAAACCTGGCTTCATTTTTCGAATGAAATTATGTTATTATTAGTCATGGCATAAAATAAAAGTATTTCAAATTTTTATATGTAAATGTTAAAAATAACTTATTAACCAACATAGAAGGGCAAGGATCTTAATACGGCATTGTTTCTTGTGTATTTAGCGATATATACGAGTAGGTGCCACCTGATCTACGCTTTTCTTTTGATTTACGCTACATATCGAATGACCTCAAGTTCTAAAATCATCTAAATCAATATCGAATTACATACATAGTTATCTTTTTTAAAAGGGAAGAAGAGGATCAGGCCACAATAAAATGTTTTCCTGCACGGTAAAGCATCATAAATCACGTTGAAAATTTTAGAAGTTAGGGAGTTACTGAGGTATAAAACATGAGTTAGATGTCTAGGCACTTTCATTCGTATATTGTATGTCATTGTGTTTGAAGTCATCATAACTAAAGCGAACACGCAGGACATTAATAAATTCAGAGATAGGGACATCATTGTATTACGCATAAAGAGCTTCTAATTTATTACCATTTTATATAATTAAATATTAAATGCCATTGGCTTTACTGCCCCAATTTATTCATCCCCAGGGATAGAGCGCGCCACACACGCACAGATACGCTCAAATTCCATAAAAGAAATTGTCAAAAACGTAATATTCATGCTTTTATCAGCAGCGTCTCAGCATTCCAGCACTCGGTGCCTAAAGCTTCGTCACGAGACAATTTCAGTTCTAAGTGCAATTAAATAAGTAATAATTTATTTATTTTACAGTTATTTTCATATAGAAAGTTGATAACGAAATGCCTAAGTAAGAATTTATTCATCTTATGATGTCACCGTAAACTGAATTGTTATAGGACTTAGGTAAAGTTAAATTATGCGGGGTTCGTTACCAGATAGTAGTATAAATGGTTAACAAAAGAGGTAACGATTTCCCTCCGGTCCCGTTCCGTATTGTAAATGCAGTCACGTAAAGTAACGTTTCGTGTATCCTTGTATGATTACATCTTACGAGGGTGACTTAAAAGTTAGAAGTCAGTAATAAAATTATATGAGTGAAGTTAGGAACATTTAGGGCTTCTGAGATTGATGTATCCTGTGTTGGGAAACATACGATTAATAATGTAGTCTTTAATAAATATATAGTATTATACGTATTATAATATTTCAATTATTAATACTTTACTTGTTATACGTACATATATATTACGACCAATAATTACTTTTTAACTAAAGTCGTAGTTACGATGACTACAAAAGATATGGAGGAAATTTATATTAAAAATATCCTTGAGGTAAATATCCTATTCATTAAAAATGTTAGACAGTTCACAACAGGCGAACATATATTTAACACACAGAATAAAAGTTTTTAAGTAATATACATGATACACACACTTTAATTGAGTACAGGATGCTCAATTCGAGGGGGTAAAATGTTTTGAAATCTGTCAAAAAGTAGCCTACACCATGCTCGTCTGAAGTTTCTGCCAGCCATTAAGCAGTCTTACAGTGCACTATCTTCGAGTAACAACCTTTAAACCGTGAAAATCTTTCTTAATTTTTAAAACATAAAGTATTATACTTACTACGAGTAAATTAATGAAATTCCTGTTAAAGTCGCATCAGCAGTTCCGGGGGTTAGTGGATAAAATAGAGTGACAAATAATTTGATCCATACATGTGACTTTATTTATATTTCCCTCATAATAATAATTGTACATTCGAGTATCTGCTTACTTAAATAACCACGTCTTTTAACGTTTTCGTCGTAATAGTCACTACATAGTATAAAACAACGTCGCTTCCCGCTGTTTGTCATTATGTATGCTTAGATGTTTAAAATTACGGAATGAATTTTAATGCGGTTTTTTTAACAGATAGAGTGATTCAAGAGGAAGGTTTTAGTTTACAATTTGTTAAGTTTTTGTACACATTGACTTAAATTATATCGATATTTGTTGGAGATTTCGGAAAAAATAGTCCGTCTGGAAACCTTACCCCTTTGTAGGTATAACAAAATAATGTATGGTAGTATAGTAATTGTGTATCTTATATAGAAATCTTTATGGAAAGGTTTACAAAAAAGTCCGCGATAGCATATGTCTATCTCTTAAGGATAACATACTATATCTTAAAAATCGTGACATTTTAAATATTTAAAGGTTAGTAGTTATGTAAGTCTGTGAGGAGTACCACAAGCTCGGAAGGCAGATTTGCTGAGAAGAGCCGGCGATATTGCAAAACAAAATTATGTCCTTATCCTGAGTGTGAACTTATAGTTATCCATATATTACATAATGAAATATACATCTGCAAAGTATTCGGCGACGGAGTAAATGCTTTGCTCAATAATATATTTTTAATTTTTGACTCAAATTGTTTAAGTGGCAAGCTCAATATAGAGCGTGGAATTTTATTATACTTACATATATTTATTTACGTACACCTTGTCGGTTGCCCCATAAAATACTTATGTAGTTTTTGAAGGTGAAACCTTCGCATTATCAGTTTGTCCTTATTTACTTCGTACTTATTTACTGTTTCTTGTAGTATTTAGATTTCGTGGGAAAATCTACCACAAGAATTCCAAAATTACTAAACACTCTCAGTAACAGTATTTCATTATCCGAAAAGATAGCTTTATTTAAAATGTTAAATATTTTCGTAAATCTAAGAAAGTTTTATATAAAAGCGCTGACCTAAGGGTACGTATGTGCTACGATGTATCTACTCGCAACGATAATTAAATAAGTATTTCCTATACCTATATATGTGTTGAGCGTGAAACTTATCTGAAATAATCAATTATACTTACGGGTTGCTCGTCTTTAGATAAGTACATAGGTACTTACATAATATCATGACCGTGTATAGTTGCCGTTGCATGAATGATGAAGAGCATAAACTCAAGAAATAATTATTATCTTTTATAATATTATAAGTATTTCCTAGTTCCAAGCAAAAAAAAAACTGACAAACAAGACAAATTATAAAAATCTAACTTTCGTTCTATAAAGATATTTTCTATTACATACAATACCTATAGTAATAATGCTAGGAAGTTCACGTGCATTTAATAATTTTCGCGTGACAGGACAGCTGACAGACAGATAATATTATTTAAGCGCACTATGTATATAAAATGATTTGATTGATTAGGGCGCTCATTATAATTATTCTTGTTAGTACGCTGACATTTCTGAGACTCGGTGTAAGTTACAAGTAGGTAAATATTATATTAAATGTAAAACTTGCAGTTTTAAATAATCCGGTTGACATAATACAGTAAGATTAAGCGAATAAAACTGTAATGGTTAAACGAAATTGGCAGTGAATAAAATGCAGTGTATTGCAGGCAGGGTTGAAGGGCCGCGGGGGCAACGACCTCGGCACGCGATCTCTTCACGTGATGCGATTAGCGGAGCTGCCGGTGTGGGCGATGTAGGTCAGCGGGACACACACCGCACACCACCGTGCACCACCGTCACCATCGCTCACTACCACTCACCATCGCTCACCAGCCACACCACCGTCATCGCCATGTGTGACCACGTCCTGGTTACCGAATAATAATGTTCAAAACGAACTCGCAAAGTAAGCACGAACACGAGAATCTTCCAAATATACTAAAAGTTTCTGATTATTCTAAGTCCTAAGATCACTTGCATAAAAATTATATATTAATAAATTTATTAATCTTATCATAAGAAACAGAGGAATAAAATGTCCCTTGTAGTATGTACTGCAGCCTACAGCCCACGAGAAATACATAGATACACACATATGTACAATGTACGTACATATATGTATGTCACACGTTATTTGGTAGGAGTAATAAAGCCGGCGCAACTTTTCTAATTTAAATACACGAGATTCACCTGGAGGATTCTAACGTATTTGTCCATATACCTAATGCCAGACGAAATGAGGGTATGTAGTTATGTGGGTGAGGGATTATCGTAGAGGTGGCAGAGGCGGCAGAGACGTGCAGCGGGCGCGCGGTGCGGCGTATCGATCCCGTTGTTGACAGACGGGCCCCGAGTGACACCGAAATGTGACGATGTGACCCACATAGTGACCGGAGGCAGACCTCTTCATTTTCGACCCTTCCCATTTATCTTTGATGACTTGGTAAAGTTAAACTATACCTGAATAACTTTTTAGTTTTCGAATGAAATGGTTATGTCGGAAGAAATGTGTTTATTGATTCGTGTCTAATCGTCTTACGGTTATTGGTTACATAATTTATAATCCTGAAAGTATGACAACAGTACACTAATGCACAAATATAGGGTTATAAAATGTATGTTTTTTGCCCAAAAACAACCACAATGTACTTTATTAATCTCCATTGCCGGTGCGGGATAAATTGTCGGCGAAGTCATTGCGTTCTCTTTTCCCCAGTGAGTGAAAAGCGTCAAGAAATTCTAATCATAGTCTCGTGTTCTTTCTCTTTGTACTATAAACATACGTTAAATCATAAAAACTACAATTAATTATGCTCATATATATTTTACATCCAGCGACATCAAGTAAACAGATAAAACAATTTTATGTTTATTTTCTTCGCGTTTCGTCTATAGTCTATATACTCGTACTAGACATTGTCGTATCAAAGGCGAATGGTAGAGCCAACAACTGGTTTTGACTAAGCCAGACCGCAAAACATTTATGTATTAACGCAGAGCAATAACTGTAATACAAAACCATACTTTCTTCCTTAATTGGCTTAATTGTCATTAATTTACATATAAATAAATACAAAAAATTAACTAAACAACCCGGGCACAGACCTGGTCAAGATATATACTAATATTATAAAGCGGAAAGATTTTATTTTTTGTTTGTTTGTACCGAATAGGCTCCAAAAGTACTGAACCGATTTAGATGAAATTTGGTAAGGAGATAGTATGAAACCCTGAGAAGGACATAAGATAGTTTTTATCCTGGAAATCATCCCTTAAGCGGGTGAAAATGGGGATGAAAGTTTGTATGGGAAATCAAGATGAATGTAAGATAATTTGATCTCGTAAGTAAGAGGTCTCGTGCGAGAAGGGTCATAATTCTAAGGATCATTCGGGTATTTTGAAGAGTAAGTACATACTTACTCTCTTACATCAAGATTTAGCTTATTTTTTATCCCGATTAATTCGATCTTGATAAAAGTTTTACCGAAACTCTGTTTTTACGCCACTCTTTCGTTCTCTTTTACATAGATGTCTACTTTCGGGAACTCATTTCTCAAAAAGGTGCCGTAGGTATATTTTTTTGTATTAATTTATTATTAAGAGAGAGAGATATAAATTAAGAGCAATTTTATTTTCTTAGATTTATGCGAATATTTGACATCTATATACATATACACTAGAGACTCACCCTCGCTCCGCTCGGGTTCGTCCCTAGTTATGTTTTAGCGTTTAGTATAGATTTCTTAGAGACGAGATATTTTCCCGCAGTAAAAAGTGCCCTACAGACAGACAATTTTATTATATGTATAGATATAATAAAATTGTAACTAAGCCGAATATGTACATTAAATATTTTTTGAGAAATCTTATTGAAATAAACATTATCGATACAGAGGCCGAATCTATAGTTTTTAGAATTTTTGTCTGTCTGTCTGTCTGTCTGTCTGTGTGTTACCGCATTACAGAAAAACCACTGGAAAGATTTTGATAAAATTTGGTAGGGTGATAGCTCGTTATGCGGGTCAACATATAGGATGATAGACTTTTTACTGCGGGAAAATATCTCATCTCTGAGAAATCGATACTAAACGTTAAAACGTAAGTAATGCCTTAGTATAGTTTTTACTACCTTACTTAAGTTTTAATGATATAATAGAAAGAGAGAGAGAGAGAGACATAGAGAACCTATACAATGTAAATTGTACATTAATTTAAAAAATATCCTAATACTTACATAGACATTAGTATCGATCGACTGTTTGGTGATTAATTTATTTCCGGGTTAAGCTATTATGGCCTATTCGGAAAGAGTGTTACGAAAATCGATTACGATTGTTTTCAAGATCAAAAAAGGCTATATTTGACCACAGATACATATATGATATTTAGATATGAAATGATTATTGTTATTATTGCTCCATTAGACTTAACTACGTTATTACAGCTTAACTTTAGATATTTAGTTTAATTTGTATACCAAACTCCAGAGGTCGAATCGCTGACGAAGACTAAATGTACCCGTTAGCTAGTTGATTTAAGTGGGTCAACAATAAATATATTCCGGTAGTTGGCGAAATCCCTATCTCTGTTAGGAGGCGGTCGCGACGTCGCTCGCGAGTCAAGTTTTGCGCTTCAGTCCGTCGTGAAGTAATCGAAAAGTTTAGATTTATGTTCAACTTTAAATTTCGCAGCGTTTTCTGCTCTATGCAAAAAATATGTCTTTATGTCACTTTTATGCAAAAAATATGACTCTGTTATCACATTTTTGATTTTAACTGGCTGTTGCATATATACGAGACATAATATCATGAAGAATATCTTCCTATAGGTGAAGGAGCACACGTGTTGCGTGGCTTGATTGCTTTATATGTTTTTAAATGATGATGTATAATATATTATGTATCTTTTGTTAGGATCTTAAATAAAATAAAAAAATAAATAAATAAAATAACTTCTTACGTGCGTACATAAATAAGAACACACACACACACGTTTTTTTTATAATTAATTTTTTTAATTACAGCTTTTTAGCTTGGCCTTAAGGAGTTTTATTAACAATTTCCTATACCAAATTACTTCTAAACTTATGAGTGAGTCGCAAATATTTTTGTAATAACTTCTTAAAAACCTTTTATATTTTTATGTCCCACACACACAACAACAACAACAAACACAACAAAAAAAATGAGTGCGTGTAAACTTTACGCGCGGTTGAAGTAAAACTTCTTTGGCGCCGTGGCAGATATCGCAATTAAAATAAAACAAATCAAAATATAAATATAATATTTTTTTATATAATTATTAATTTATTTAATATATTTTCACGGTTAGTATGGAATAGATATACCTACTTTATATTATACATACATAGGTATGATTCAGTTTCGTAACCCTTACTTGAGAAATGATTGATTCCCCATACAAACTTTTATGCCCCTTTTCACCCCCTTAAGGGATTTCCGGGATAAAAATTATCCTATATCTTTCCCAGGATCTCTAACTATATTTTATGCCAAATTTCATATGGGTTTAGCCGATTTTTAGTAAACTAATGCATAAATCCATTGCAAACAAACATACAAATATAAAATTTTTAGTACTCTGAGATTGAGGATACTAGCAATAAAATCGCCACACTACAATCACCTTCAAATTCAAAACATTTTATTCAGCATTAAATTATTACAATTTTTTACTGAACGATGAGTCTATTACCAGTTCGGAAAGAAGAAGCCTCAGATCTGAAAGAACTGGCGAAAGAAGCTTAGCAGGACTAATATTATTTCGTTATCTTTTTTATAAAGTTAAATTACAAATTACAATATTTCTAAAGTTGAAGTAGCCTGGAGGCGATCCCTTCACTCCCAAGGCGTGCCATCATCTATGAAATCACTAATTAATTAATCATTAATTGATATGTTTATTAATTTTTCAATAGTTTAGTACGTGTTTGCAGTTTGCATCCTCCTTTAAAACTAAAACTTTCTCATTCAACATGGCGGAACACAGGATGTGTTCCGCCATGTTCCTCCGTCCTTTTCACTCATTCTTTCTTTCATTCACACGTCATACATTAACCATAATAGCTTTTATTTAATTTATGAACATTCATTCCACAGTAATAAATTCATATTTAAAAGCAATAATATTTATAAAATTACTAATGATAAATATACGTTTTTATAAATAACTAGCATTGCCCGCGGCTCCGCCCGTATTCAGATGACCAAAAACCAAATTTTTAGGTTTTACATATTAGTATACCCTTACATTGCAGTTTTTGTATTTTTTCTCAGAAATGAGACATTTTCCTGCGGTAAAAAGTATCCTATATGTTGACCCGGATAGTCAGCTATCACCATATCAAATTTCATCAAAAAGTGGTTTTTCTGTGATGCGGTGACAGACAAAAATTCTAAAAACTATAGATTCGGCCTATGTATCGATAATAATGTTTATTTCAATAAGATTTTCCAAAAAATATTTAATGTACAGATTCGGCTTAGTTATAATTTTATTATATGTACCTATAGATAAATGATTAAAATAGGTTAAGCCGTTTAGTAATTACGAGGGAACATATGATCGGCATGACATACATACAAACAAGTCAAACAAACGTCCTTCGGATTTTTCCGAAGTCGGGTAAAAAGTATAGAATATGAGTGTAAGGTAAACACTATTCGAATGACGTCAACTTTGTTTTGTCTGGTAGAGTCCGATCTAAAGGTGAGATTAACTTATAGGTAATTGTTATAGATATACCTACCACTGAATTTACGGCTCTTTTAGAATGAACAGGTGATCATTATCAAGCGCTGAGTTAAGTTTCGTGTCGGAAATATTGTCTAACAATAAGGGTTATACCCTCATACGTGTGCACTGTACGGTGCACCGCACAGGGTCTGGAATCTTCTTCGTACACGGCTTTCTCCACTCTTAGGCAAGTTTGCCCGTTGTGCGTCAGCTTGTGTTATTCTTTCTACCCCAGGGCATCCCAGTAGTCTAGCAGGCTGCCGGTGTCCTGGTAGATTTCCGGGTGTGATCTCCTGGGGCCTAGTTTTTTTTGGTATTTCAATTCACTACATTCAATCGACGGCAATCAGCTTGTTCACCTTACATAGTGATTCAACTTTTATTCTGAGATAAGGTCGGAGTTCCAACGATAATAATTATTAAATAGCTTTTAGAATTAGAGTTGATAAATTTATCGCCAATTTTTATTCTTCTTAGTAATTCTAATGGTTATATCATAATTATTATCTCTCTTCACATCTATATTTATATTGTCGCTATCATTTTTCTACTTATCCAGAACAGATGGGCAAGTTTTAACTATTAAATCATTACATGGTTTTTTTGCAATACTTTTTAATATAATGTTAATGCATTATTTACAAAATATGATATCTAATTACTCTAGCAGCCCGTAAGTGATTGAAAGTGTAGGTCTTTTACTTGTATGTAGGTAAAATAAAAAAAACTTTCGTTAGATGGACTTTTACAGTACAAATCGCAAAGCCCAAAGATATCTAATCTAGCGGGCGCCATATGCCGCGGGAATGTAAATGTCGATATTGCAATGATCGAACATAATTTATATATCTGAAAACTGGGTCGCTCTGTATTCGTAGAACACGCCTGCGATACCAGCCATGCACAGAGTACAGAGTAGTTAGTGTTCCCACGAGTTCATACATTCAAGTCGTTTGTTATAACAAGTTATACTTAGTAAGCTACATTATATCAATCGCGCTGCAGCAAAAGCCGAGCTATCAAACAGAAGATCAACAAATGTCAAATAATCATACAATCTTCATGAAAATATAAAATTATAAGTTTTTACCTAAAATTTGAAGAAGTACGTAAAGTTTAGCATTTATAAGCACTTTTGTCCATGTGTTTCACTGACTTCATAGACGGCTCTCATACGTTCATTATTATGTACTTTTTATTAAATGCTATTGTTATGTGACGTCAGAAATTTTTAATAATAAACCAACATAGGTACAACATTCGTGTTGTGCCACGCGTCTCGTAGGTGTAGACATACGTATACGAGTATGTTTGCAGTGAATAGCACAGCATTCTAGGTATATTGTGCAAGTGGATAAAGCTTCGTAGTGCACCTACTTGAGAGTATCGCGCATCGTTGGAATATCGAAGAGCTGTAGGTACTACCGCGGCGGCGAGCGCGGCTGCGAGGGCGGCGCGGAGCGGGCACACGTAGCAGTAGATAGTTGAAGAAATTAGTAACGGAATGGGCGATCAATATGGAATTCCGTGTGATAATATTATTTTATTGCTAGGCGCGGCTCTGAGCCACTGTGGCTCTCGCAACGATGCACGCTCTTTTATTATATTACCATCAATTTATGCGATATCTTTATTGCGCGTAATGGCGATTCGAAAAGTAGGGATAAGTTTATTTGCGAAGTCGTTAACTCTTAAAATAATGGAGCTTTTGTACAGTCCACCTGTCAGATGTGTAACGTAAACCGGGCGCTTGCCTCGGCGTGGTTCGGCCTCAGATGGGTGCATCGGGCGGCATGCCCTCGCCCGTTGTCGCATTCAATTAATTATATTTTTCCATCGCTTTCAAAATAATTTTTTTGTCATTAGTTATGGTAACATTAAATACTTTCGCTGTTTGTAACAACTATACCTTCGAGACATCTAACACCGCAGTCTCTCCCGTGACCATGATTGCTGTAAAGCATTCGAAACGTCGGCAACCAAAAATCTAAATAAATCCGCGAAAAAATCCAAAAAGATAGTTTTATTTAAAATTACAGTAATATTTTTAGGAATCTTTTTAAATAAAACTTTCGTATAATCATAAAATCAATATATAGTAATATTTAAATAAAAATATTTCTTATAATAATATTTCTTATAATAATAAAATCACCTACCTATTCTTAGTAGATTTCTAAATAAAACTATGTTTGTGGATTTGTTTGATTTTTCGTTTCCGACGTTTTGAATGTTTTACAGCAATCATGGTCCCGGGAGAGACTGACGCGAAATTGTCCAAAAAGATAGTTTTATCACAGATCACATAATACTATACTAGTACTATTTAAAATGCCAAATATTCGCGTAAATCTAAGAGAGTATTATCATATTAGGTTCTTCATGGCTTAATTGAGTCTGACTAGGTAGGTACGTCTCGTCTACAGAAGCATTTGTAAAAGTAAATTTTAAATAAAAAGTACTGTTTGACGTCATTAACACCATAAAAATGCATTCGTAACTTCTGCATTTTATATCGTTAGAATGTTTTATACATACTCGTATGTGTAGAAATGTCACGTGATCTAATGTAGTATCAAACGAGCAGAGCTGAGTGCGGCGCGGCGGAGCTAAGGTTAGCCCTTTTACGGCTCATCAAATATGATGATTCTCGCGTCAACTGTCACCGCCCGGTCGGATTTAATTACTCGATCTTACACAGAAACAAGAACTAATTGATATAATGAAACATCATTTCCTATCTTTCTTACTTAGCATTTAATTCGTAGATATTATGCATAATCTATAGTAATATATTTATGTCAACGACATATTACCATAACATTTAAATTTAATAGAGAACACTTTACATACAATACTATACCTATATAATATAACAAATAGTCAACAGCCATTATACCACCTATACACGTATGTACGAATTACTGCGAAGCAATTGTCACAAAATATAATACTAATTATATCTTTGTTAAAAAACAATTTACAATAGTGATTGTTCCAGCGGGGCGGCGACGATAAAACATTATGCTGTTCCAGCTTAAATGACGATTTGACGGCCAAGTGGCGGGCGGCGGCCGCCCGTCGATGTCGATAACAATTTTATATGGCTGGCTCTTCACACTGAAGGGAGAGTCTGTTATAGTTTCCTTAATTGTGAAACAATCATTGCCTCCAACCCAGGCCTTGTCACTTAGGTCAGTTTGGGCATTCACGGATAGAGAAATAATTATAATATTATATGCCACTTTTACTTATTCTATATAGTACTTAGGTTATTACCTATTTGTCCTTGTAATTTGTCTAAATATAAGTTTGAAGAATCCTGATATCTCGCATAAAAAGTCGACAAAGCTTGCCGCCCGCCCTAGCGCGGGCGGGCGGCGGCGGCGGCGGCGGCGACGGCAGTGCGCGGCGCGCGCGGCTCCCGGAGAGTCGCGCCTTCGCCGCCTCGCTCCGCGGGCGCCCGCTGCCACGTGCGCGACCCCCCGCGCCTCCCCGCGACCCATCCTTCGTACCCTTTAAAATAGAATTTACGAGCCGTGCTCCTGGTAGGTAGGCCGCTGTCGCTCTCCGCGCCGTGCATCTCTCCGTCCACACTCCGCGCTGCGACCGAGTGCAGAATAAGCATTGTGCGCTATATCGCCTGCAACTGACAGGGCGAGCTGTAGTCTATCAAATAATGGTATCTATATTGCATGCTTCTCGTCTGATCAGCAACTGACTTAGACCGTCGATTTCGTATAAATTGTAGACATAAACCTATGTAATAAAAGAACGCTTGTAGTAAAATTATATGGGTTTATTGCTACCGGTCGCCTGGTTCTTAAATTCAAATGTTTTTAATTGCCCGTTTATTATGGACATTCCGTGAGTCCTTCGGCTTCACATAAGACAACACCTGTGCCTAAAGTAGCGCTCCGGAACATTTATCTCTAGACAATGAGATAGAATGTAAATATTTAAATCATTTGTAGTGTTTACTTTAGAAGCGACTGGTCTTCGAAGCGTGATCTACTTACACGAATCGCAAAGCGGGAATCCGTAAACAAAAAGACAAAAATTGTTTCTTTCTTCTAATTATTCGTGAATCGTTATAAAACAAATCCGATATGATCCATGCCAAATTGTTTCGAAATATAATTTAATAGTCGTTTGTTTAGAAAACTAATCGAAAGCTATTTGTAGAAATATTAGCCGTCATTGTTTGAAATAGTTTCATAATAAATTTGCATTTAGTATACTATTTTATTAATTTTATAATATCTAAAGATAAATACGAGTGAGTACCTACTGACGCCGCGATTTGGCTCCGCAATTACATTACGCTATTTAGTATTTACATAACTTTCACTATAGGTTCTAGGGCATTACCATATCGGATAGTTAAGTTAAAGAGTGATAGTCATAAAGAGGAGCCGACTCAGACGGCGACAGCGATCCATCATTCTTAGGTGGGTACTAAATATAAACTTCCTGAAAAATCGAGCTACATGATAGAAAAAATGAATAAGTAGTATTAAAGAAACGCCGGCTGGTGTCGGCCGAGTGCTGTTCGTTCGCGGAAAGTAGTTTACGATGTAATAAATAAAGTTCGAACGCGCAGGAGCCGCGCGACGCAGCGCTCGTTCCCGCCACGCTGGAGGCGCTACGCCGTCACTCGCGGCAGATCGCCGCTCGCCGCGTCCGCCGCGTGCAGGTACGTCCGCCGCTCGCGCCGCCCGCCCACGGCGCCCGCGCCTCTCGCCCGCTCTAACTATTCGATCTTTTGTTGCAGTTCACGGAGCGGACGCGAGATGGCGCTCGTGGCGATGGTGCCGGTGAGTATCGTCCTGGCTCTGCCTTCGCTAAATATAATCGACCACTCTGATCCGTATCGGTAGCGCGCGCGCCGACCGTCGCATGCCGCGCGCGAGTCGCCACTCGACGGCGGCGACGGCAGCGCATGCGTGCTCCACCCTCATAGTGTGTTTCATCTGTGTGTGCAGAGAGCGGCGGCTCCGAGATGTCCGGCGGCAGCGGCGACCGCCGGCCCTCCACCTGCCGGGTGGAGATGGGCGCGCTGCTCGCCTCCGAGCCCCGTCCGCCCGACAACAAAGTTAAGGTACGAGTACGATAGCGTCACGTGCACCTCTATTACATTCCTACGATATAAGCAATAACAAAGTTCGTCCCTGCCCATGAGTTACAGCTGTATATCAAACTATAGGTATATGAGTATAATATAAGTATGTATAATAATTAATAATCTGTTGACGATTCGCAACACGTACCCAAAACTAGGAGTACCTTAGCACCGCCCTCGCCCTGCGCGACCCATTTGCATAATGAGTGTATCGGCCCTCGAAGCCTTCGACACTTCGACAGCGACCCTACGACATTTCGCTATTAACAGCTGACCTACTTCATGTTTATCGTCTTTCATCTCACGATGACGGACGATAGCGCTCGTCAATTTGGAAATGTCTAGAATATAGCTAGAGGCTCGACTTCGGGCCGGTGCTCTTCCAGGCCTTGGTATAATCTTAGTCGTTTTTTCACAAATTAAATCCCACGTGTATTAGCACTCGAGTGTATCAGTAAATTATGGAACTCTGTATTCGCAAGCAGCTGGAATGTAGTTATTTTCGTAATATAAATAAGAAAAAATAAATACATGCGCAGTTCATTACGCTAAGTGCCGAACATTTCATTCGCACAATAGCTTACGACAAGTTACAGTTAATATGTATATGTATGTTGTATAGTTCATGTAGTGTTGCACTGAGAAATAATTACACACGAATATTGCAAATAGTAGTGGCGTTATTAAAATTACCTACATACATAATATATGATGTATCATATACGAACAATAGAGAGCGTGTAGGTGTGTATATGTACACCACACGCGGATGATCATGTACCTACAAGGTAGGCATATTACTGGTCGTAACTTTATTTACTTGTAAAAATGCCATGTACTGGCAAACTGTTTGAATTTCTCAATAGTTTCCTGAAAACCTCATTATTTTCTGTGATTCCCAAATGTTTTAGCTAATATATTTATTAGTATAGTATTTTTATTTAGCATTGTTTAACTAATGTAGAGTACTTCAAAATATGAAAGAATTTTTTTTTTTTTAAAACAATAATCTAATTATAATTTTACTTTAAACGAAAAAAAAAATCTATACATTTAATAAAATTGTAACTAGGTCGAATCTGTACATGAAATATTTTTTGGAAAATCACTGGAGGGATTTTGATGAAATGCTAGTATAAACTATTTTTGTTGTGTACTTTACGTGGAAGCTAAAAAAATATCAATTAAAGTAAAAACCGTACAGTGCGGCGCTATCAACGAATAAAGATCTTTTCGCTAGTTAAATTTCGAAATTGTAGGATAAAAGTTTCTGTTAACAGCGACACAGTATACATGGTATGACAGAGGAGGAAAATGTGGTCAGACCGCATCAGGAGATGGCTGTGCTGTCGCTCGAGGAGAAGAAATACTTGCTGGGCGTGGAGCGCGGCGACGTGGCAGGCACGCGCCGCGTGCTGCAGCGCGCGCGCGACACCGGACACATCAACGTGGATTGCGTGGACCCGCTGGGTCGCAGCGCGCTGCTCATGGCCATCGACAACGAGAACCTGGAAATGGTGGAGCTGCTTCTTGAGTTTGGTGTCGAGACGAGAGACGCGCTCCTACACGCGATATCTGAGGAGTTTGTGGAAGCTGTGGAAGCGCTGCTGGATCACGAGGAGAGAACACGAAAGCCTGGCGAATTGCACGTGAGACACTTTTAGCTTTCCTTTGTGATTAGAAATAAAATAATACCCATAATATATATACATAAGTATTTGATGATGTCTAGTGAAAAGGTGTGGCCGCCGGCGCCGTACACCACCTACTTTTTATTTGACTCGGGTTATCATATTTAATATTCAATTAATGCGAAGCAATAACTTACATATTTATCTGTAATATGTTACTTTATAATATATTACTCTCTTTATATAGGTATTATAACTAGCATAACAAAAGCTACAAAAAAACCCACTAAAATGGTAGGTTTCATACAAACTTTCATCCGCTATTTTACCCTCTTATGAGATGAATTTCTAAAACACGTATTTAATTAATTGTATTGAAGAGTATTAATACCAAGTTTCCATAAATATTTTTTGGATTGTGTTATAACGTGTTTTCCCGTGAGAAAAAGATTATCTCCCGCGGTAAAAAGTAGCCTACGTCACTCTCCAGCCCTCCAACTATCTCTACACAAAAAATCACACCAATCCGCCAAGCCGTTTCGATGTGAAAGGAAGACGAACAAACAAACACAATTTCACATTTATAATATTAGTATGGATGTACTTTGTTTATTATTGTTAAAAAGCATAATTGACAAACATATTGCAGAGTTGGGAAGCACTTCCGCCAGAAACGGCAACGTTCACGTCTGACATAACGCCGCTAATCCTAGCGGCGCACCGCGACAGCTACGAGATCATCAAGCTGCTGCTGGATCGCGGCGCGGGGCTGCCGGTGCCGCACGATGTGCGCTGCGGCTGCGACGAGTGCGTGCGCTCCCGCCGCGAGGACTCCCTGCGGCACTCCCGCTCGCGGATTAACGCCTACCGCGCCCTCGCTTCTCCTTCACTTATCGCTCTATCATCTAAAGACCCCATATTAACGGCCTTCGAGTTATCGTGGGAGCTCCGCCGCCTTTCAGCTTTGGAGCACGAATTTAAGACTGAATATCAAGAACTCCGAGTGCAATGTCAAGAGTTCGCCACGGCATTGCTCGACCACACGCGCACCTCGCACGAACTGCAAGTGCTCCTCAACCACGAGACGGGCTCTCCTCAAGCGCCCTTGAGCGAGCCCGGGGCGCCGGAGAGAATGAGATTATCTCGACTCAAGCTCGCGATAAAACTACGCCAGAAAAAGGTAGGTAATCTCAATTGCTCTTAAAAGGTAAAAGATAACTAAATATAACTTTGGCTCTTTTGTTAATAAAATTTATGAGTCCAGCTTTTTATTTTTTTTAAAGATTTCCGCAATCCGATCATTATTAATCCCTCGACGACCGCGGACACGCCGGCTTTACAGTTAACAATAGATTTCTTAGAAATGTAATTAATTTCTTAGTTTACCTGGAGGTGTTAAGTTGCTCATTATGCTCACCTTAATAGCAATCGTTGGCTCTACAATGTAGGGTGGGTATATATATATATATACCCACCCATATATATATAATATTAAAACGTCCGGCAAGGAATTACAAGACACGTTAATATTGATTTTGCGTAGCTTGCAGTGAGAGAAGACTTCCGCGAATAATTTTATATTACTAAGGTCATGATGATGGACTTCGTTGACACCTAAAGTCATAATATTTCGATGTATTCGTCGCTTGTTGGCAGGTATTTATTGAAGTTTTGGATTGAAAACTCGTTGCCGCCCACATGTTAGTGTCACAAAAGTTCCTTTAAACGATTTTTTTAAACTTAGTCTTTAAATTGCTTATATTAATTCCTTATACGAGTAAATTAATCTGAATAGAATGCAGATCCTGAGACTATATCAAGAGCTCAATTATATGAGTTTGCAATAAATAACTCGATATATAATATGTGTATATAACATGTGTCGATGTTGTCTTAGAGGGGAGGATATAGAGTCACATCTCGACTTGGCAAATCTTAACGGTCGTACTAACTGTTGGCCGCAGTTCGTAGCGCACCCCAACGTGCAGCAGTTGCTGGCGTCCATCTGGTACGAGAGCGTGCCGGGCTTCCGGCGCAAGAACATGCTGCTGCAGGCGGCGGAGATGGTGCGCATCGGCGCCATGTTCCCGCTGTACTCGCTGGCCTACATCGCGGCGCCACACTCCGCCGCCGGCCGCACGCTGCGCAAACCCTTCATCAAGTTCCTGTGCCACTCGGCCAGCTACTTCATGTTCCTTTGTGAGTAACGCTCTGTGCTTACATTATTATTATATATACGTCAGCAATAAAATGACTGTAGGCCCATGATTTTTTTTTCATGTTATCAAAAGTCTAGGTGCGATACAAAGAGCAATTGGAATTGGCAAACTTGTAAACAATTGGAAGGATTTTTTTTTTACTTTTTACTGATCATTTTCTTTTCAGTTTATATTAATTTCATTTTCTTTGTTTTACTAACTACTATACCTATGCGTATATGAGTTTATGCATATCAACGCTACGTTAGAGTAAAATAAACATAATAAGGTGAAATGTTAGATGTTACACATCATATGCGACCACTGTAAGGCTCGCTCGTTTTTTTGTTTGCCGACATTCAAAATATTATATTTATTTTTGATAGCAGGGGTTCTGGGTTTGAATTAAAAAAAATATCTAACGGGAAGCGAAGCGTAGCGTAACTCCCGCCTTAGCCTGTTCGTTGCCTTCCCAGTCTACGTTATCCAAGTCGGGCCTGTCACCTAATCGAAAATAAAAAAATACCAATAAATAATCTTCACAAATTTAATAAAAGTTTACTCAGATTCTATACATACGGAAATCTTAACACGGGTTGGAGTACTTTCTTAGTTCTATGTCAAAATTACATTTTTGGTTTTAAAAAATTGGTCGATTCACTGATCGCAATGAATGAACACGTAAGACTTCTAACCATAACGTGGTATTACTACTAATGACAATTTAAATAGGGTATTTACAATTTCGCTGGATGTGCTTAGAGTAATTACAATTTATTTAAAATTGACCCGTGATATTGTAAAAAAATTCACAAACTGTTCTAGAGGAACCATTTCAAAAAAATTGAGATAAAATTAAAAATATTTTATTGAGCAAAGCGATGCAGAAGTCTATTTGAATAAAGTATTATTTCATTATGATAATCTATTAGGGTTTCCAAACAAATATACAAAATTTTATAGATGTATGTATGTTTCTTTCTATGTTTGTCTACGTATTTCTCCGAAACTAGTACCTAATCGGATCGTGATCATTCTTTTTTTATTTGCTTACATTTATTTCAACTTAGAGAATAGTAAAGATTTCATCAAAATTAGTTTAGTAGTTCTTATAATATGGACTAAAACGTGTAATGGCCTGACTCATTATAGGTATGGTGTCGCTCATTAAAGGGAAACTATCTCAAAACCTTAGTCGAATTTTAGTGCGCATGTATGAAAATCAAAATGGCCAAAACCAAATTGGCCTCACGATACAAATCCGCGGTGAGAACAAAAAATCAAAATCTTTCAATTTTTATAAAAAAACGGTTACTTCTTATTACAAAAACTATTTCAGTTTTACTTAAAACTAAAGATTACGAAATAAAAAGTACCTAATAAAAAAAAAAACCGACTTTTAAAAAATGTGTGTGTACTTATGTACGCACGTAAAAAGTTATACTTCTTTGGCCTAACTGAACAAAAATAGCTAGAGATGTCATACCGTATGTCACAACTCTCTGCTTGTTAAAGGAATGCAGCTTTCAGTTACCTTCTCATATTTTTTTCCAAATGCGCCAAAAGAAGTATACCTTCAAAAACTTCCAGGCACTAAAAAGCAAAAAATAATTGAATGGGGGTTTTCATTTACCAGTTAGTTTTTATTTTATAGATACCTAATCAGATATTTTCGTAGTCGGTGCCAGCCGACAATGCTATAATGAAGATATAAATATCTAATAGGTAAATATGATTAGGTATGAACTCTAATTACAATTTGTGATGTATTTTACGTATCGAAATAGATTTGCTTTGATTTGCATCGGCTTTATCATTAACTAATCATACATACAATATATTTTAACAAAACGTTTTTTTGCTTATTATATAAGCTGTTATCTTCGTAACGTGATTCAAAACACAAAATTGCTTAACCATTACAGTATTGTACTTAAAAAGTTTTGCGTTCTGAATGTTGGATAATGATATATGTGTCTCGTAAATCTGTTACCGAAGGACACCCAATTAAAAGTTGAGATTACGTTTGAAAGCTTTTCTGATAACTACTGATGAAATACTATTATAACTCAATCCGGTATTTCGTTTACGTAAACATTATTTAGTAAGCTATGTTGTATAGTAGCTAGCGCGTACGGTTGGAGATTGTGTGTTCCTCCTTACGTTATGTTCCTTACGGTTGTGATCTGGGTTCGAATCTCGGGCAGGCCAAGAGTAGTTATTGATTTCTCTGTAATTATGGCTGCACCACATATGTATGTACACTTGTGCACTATATATATATATATATATATATATATATATATATATATATATATATATATATATATATAGAATATTATTTCTCTTATTTGAAAAATAAAGACTTAACTGCGTTTCTGTAATAATAAAAAAAATTATTTCACTACTAAGTAGAATTGACTGACTGTCTGACTCTACATGGAAGATATTTGAGAAAAACTATTATTGGGTGCCAAAGAATCTAAAACGTTGATTTTTAGAATTTTTGTCTGTTTGTCTGTGCGTTTGTGCGCGCTAATCTCAGAAACGGCTTAACTAATTTGTGCTATGTTCACTAATGTACTGTGGTAAGCTTCACTTTATAATATAATATAATATGTTGGGACATTAACACACATCACCATCTAGTTCCTTGATAAGCTACGAGACTTGTGTTATGGATACCAGATAGTTGATACACTACACATATATGATTTTAAATACATACATATTATACATATTGTTACATCCATGACTGGAGGACAAACATTCGTGCTCATTACACAAATAAATGCTCCCAGCGGGACTCGAACCCGCGACCGCTGGCACAGCAAGTAGGTTCACTACAAACTGAGCCAAACGTGTCGTCAAACTTAACTCACTTAACATTTAGTATTGGTTTTATTTCAATCGGTTCATAAATATAAAAGTTATATCCATTTACAGAATCACCTAGGTATGAATCCGAGCGAAGCGAGGGTGAGTCGCTAGTTAATAAATAAATCAATAAAAAAAAACTTATTACGTACTACGTATTTATAATATTGAAAAGAAAAATATGATATTTTCTGTTTCTGTTATATTTGCAGTTCTTTTGATCTTGGCGTCGCAGCGCATCGAGACAGCCGCCGGTGGCATCTTCTGGGGCGCCTACACGACGCCGCTCTCGCGCCGCGGCTCTCCTCCCTCGCTGGTCGAGTGGCTAATACTGGCTTGGGTTAGCGGTAAGCTGATGTCACATTTTCCAATTTGTGATCTTAGTTTTAATGAGTTTAAAAGGTTATATCTGGCGATCTATTCTACAGGTCTTATTTGGAGTGAAGTGAAGCAGCTGTGGGACATGGGGCTACGCGAGTACGTGCACGACATGTGGAACGTTATCGACTTTGTGACGAACTCGCTGTACGTGGCCACCGTTGCGCTGCGCATCGTCTCTCACTTTCAGGTCAGTCTTTAATCCCTCCCTCGTTTAATTGTCGTATTACTAAACTCTTAACATCTCTCTTAAATATGTTATATTATTATTTAAAAATTTTTTAAAATATCATTTCATAGTAAAAAATGTCTAGAGAGCATTAAATTTTCATTTTATTTGTGAACAATTTGTTTTTGAAATAGTTGTAACTAAACATAGTATGTAAGGTATATATGTAGGTACCTACTAAAATACAGTTTTATAATTAAAACTAAAACGGGGATCAGGTTTAGTGGTTGTGTCCTGACTCCTGCATGTAATTATATGTATTGAGTATATGTAGGTATATCTACCTATTAATGCACGATGGCTTAGTTGGCTAATAAACAATTAAATCAAGTTAAAGACTGTCCAATATGTTATTACACTCTTACATGTTATTTACACTTTTAAAGGTTTATAGCAATTTTATGTTCTTATAGGTTCGTCGAGAAATGGCGATGGGACTTCAGTGGAACCAGCCACGCGAAAAATGGGACGCGTGGGACCCCATGCTGCTGTCGGAGGGACTATTCTCCGCAGCCAATATTTTCAGCAGCCTCAAATTGGTGTACATCTTCAGCGTGAACCCGCACCTGGGGCCACTGCAGGTGTCTCTGAGCCGTATGGTGCTAGATATCCTGAAGTTCTTCGTGCTGGATATTCTCGTCATATTCGCTTTTTCTTGTGGTAAGTCTTTATAAAGGTAGTATAGGTAGGTACCTATTGTAAAGATTTATTGAGGGGATAAATATGTTACAAGGCGTTTGTGAAGAAGGTACATGAGCTCAGAGCGTACTAAAGTAATTAATGATAGTCATATTAATACTATGTAAGTATATTTATAAGTTAGAGAACGTAATAAAGTTCCACACTATTTTAGTAATCTAGGTATACATATACCTAATAAAATTCTGAGTCGAATCAGTTCATTAAATATTTTTTGGAAAATCTTATTGAAATTGTCATTATTATCGATACAGAGGCCGAATATATAGTTATTAGATTTTTTGTCTGTCTGTCTGGGAACGCAGTATGAGAAAACCACTGGACAGATTTTTTGGTGTGATGATAGCTGGTATCCGGGTCAACATATGGTATACTTTTTACTGCGGAAAAATATCTAATATCTGAGAAATCTATACTAAACGTTAAAACGTAACTAGGGACAAAGCCGATCGGAGCGAGGGTGAGTAATGAGTCGCTAGTAATTAATAAATGCCATTGTAAAATGGCATAAATAAGCATGTCTAGCAGTGGAACGTATCGCGTAATTTTATCAAATCACAATATCTAGTTAAAATTCGATACTTTCTTTACTTATAAGTTCTAAACTGACAGTTTACTGAACTGTTCGAAGGTCTGAACCAGCTGCTGTGGTACTACGCGGACATGGAGAAAAAGAAATGTCACTCCGCGTCGTCCTTCACCGGCGCCAACGGCACGCTGCCCGACCCCGACGCCTGCATAGTGTGGCGGCGCTTTGCGAAGTAAGCATGTTTTTGGATATACCGTGTTTCAGCTGTTTTAATCTATGTTAACATAAAACACATACGTATGGGCAAAGAAAAACGTTTTATTTTTTTACCTATAGATACCTAAGCTATTATCAGGTAAGTATATGTTTTATTTAATAATGTCTTCGATTTAAAAGAGGCATTCACATAAATTACAAAGATGGTAATTTTTACCAAGAAGAATATGCCAATGTGTCATTTAATACCTGATTGATCAATTCGCTGAGATAGTAATAAAACATATGTACATTTCCACAGTTTGTTCGAAACGATGCAGACTTTATTTTGGGCAGCGTTTGGGTTGGTGGACCTAGATTCGTTCGAACTGGACGGAATCAAGATCTTCACGCGCTTCTGGGGCATGCTGATGTTCGGCACCTACGCCGTTATAAACGTCATCGTGCTGCTCAACCTTCTTATCGCCATGATGAATCATTCCTATCAGCTCATTTCGGTTTGTACGAGTTGTTCCTCAAATCGTCGTTGTGTTAATATTTTTAATATTATTAACGTAAAATTAGATTAAGCCTCGAGACTATTAAATATGTAACTCTTTAATTTTAATATTATAAATGAGATGTTAAAGCATGCAAGTTACCGCAGGAGCGCGCCGATGTGGAGTGGAAGTTCGCGCGCAGCAAGTTGTGGATCAGCTACTTCGAGGAGGGCGGCACGGTGCCGCCGCCCTTCAACGTGGTGCCGTCGCCCAAGTCCACGCTGTACGCCTGGCGCTGGCTGCAGCGCCGCCTCTGCGGGCACGCGCGCGCCAAGCGCGAACACATGCGCACCATACGGGTACTCGCTCCACCCTGCTCCACTCTCACACATATATCCTCTTTTACACGATCTACGAATCCTTCCATACCTTCAAAATCTATACATATAATAAAATTGTAACTAAGCCGAATCTGTTCATTAAATATTTTTTGTAAATTCTTATTGAAATAAACATTATTATCGATACAGAGGCCGAATCTATAGTTTTTAGAATTTTTGTCTGTCTGTCTGTTACCGCATCACAGAAAAACCACTGGAGGGATTTTGATGAAATTTGGTATGGTGATAGCTGGTTATCCGGGTCAACATATAGGATACTTTTTACCGCAGGAAAATATCTCATTTCTGAGAAAAAATACAAAAACTACAATGTAAGAGTATACCAATATGTAAAACGTAAGAATTTGGTTTTGCAATGCTAGTCCAAAATATTTTATATCTAAAGGTATACAAAACTTAATATTTAACATTATAAACATTCCATGTAACAAATGAATAGGATGAGAAACACGTGCTGACACTGAAATTCATACATAATGTCTTCCTAACGTGACGACGCTCAAACTCACTGAAACTAGCCAACTGATATGTGGGAGATATTTTAGTGAAATGTAACTGTTGACTTTACTTATCCGGAAAGAAGTTGGAATGAAAATTTGCCCACAATTTTAACATGTTTTCCGAAACACAGGGATGTATCGACACACCGGTAATTTCCAAACTCCGGTCTATTTAGTTTTTCGTAAATTCTACCATCTAGATTGGCCACTCTAGGCGCCTTCGTAAGTTATTCGGAGGTTTTATAACTATAGTCTATAATTACATTTCTTCTTTAATAATAATTGTTTTCAATATTTTAATAAAAGTATTTAATTTTCAGAGAAAAGTAAAACAAGCTAATGAGCGAGATTTTCGTTATCAAGTGAGTATTTAATTTGTTTATTAAAACTACATTTTAATTGAGTGAAGCCCTTGGCCGGTCCTTCCCCGGAAATATTACATGCCTAATTGGAAAAAATATATCAGATAGGTACTATTATTTTATTTAGTTGTAGTTATAAGTAGGTACTTAATGTTTTCATTCATATTAAATCAATAACAAATAAGTTAATAAATTAATCTTTTTAATAAAAATAATAAATATAATACACAATTTCATGAACCGTTACGTGAAACAGCGTAGACCGTCCAATACGTGTACTGAACTGCAGGCCATAATGCGCAACCTGGTGCGGCGCTACGTGACGGTGCAGCAGCGGCGCGCCGAGTGCGGCGGCGTCACCGAGGACGACGTCAACGAGATCAAGCAGGACGTCAGTGCCTTCCGCTGCGAGCTCGTCGAGATCCTGCGTAACTCCGGCATGAACACCTCCACCGCCAACGCCGGCGCCCCCGGTGAGTCCCCTCTGTCCCGCGCCTTCCTTTCGCATCTTCGGGCGTGACTCGACGTTTGGCTCCTCAGGTGGAGGAGGCGGTAAGAAAAATCGGCAAAAGGAGCGGCGCCTGATGAAAGGGTTCAACATTGCGCCGGGCGGGTCGCTGGCGCCCGTGGACGAGTTCTTCGCGTCGCTGCACCACGAGCACGGGCCGCACGGCGGGCACCATTCGTCGCTGTCGGCGCTGCTGGGCGGGCGGCTGCGCACCAGCCAGTCCAGCCTGTCAGACGGCGGCGGCGGCGGCGCGCGCCGCAAGCCCAGCCACAAGCGCCGCTGGGGCACCATCATCGAGGCGGCGCGCGCGGCGCGCGTATCGCGCCTCATCGGCCGCTCGCGCTCCGAGGACTCTGTGTGCGACCACGCCGGCCCTTCGCCGAGGTCACTATTATTTATATTTTATAGGTTACTACGTTTATTCTTAGTATAGGGTATCTCATAATACTTTCTTAGATTTACGCGAATATTTGACATTTTAAATAAAACTATCTTTTCGGATTATTTCGCGGATTTATTTTGATTTAGACCTCAGTCTCTCCCGTGACCATGGATGCTGTAAAGCATTCGAAACGTCGGGAACCAAAAATCAAAATAAATCCGCGAAAAATAATCCGAAAAGATAGTTTTATTTAAAATATAGGGTATGTATCAAAAATAAAAATAAAACTTTTTCGTATTGTACAAATATAAAATCGAACGGACATTTTCTTATTTGTAATTATGTTTCTATACGATCTATAAACCGTCGGTGCATTGCGCAGCGGCAGCGAGCGGTCGGACTCGGGCAGCGACTCGCAGCGTAGCCCCGAGCGCGCGGCGGCCGGGGCGGGCAGCGCGGGCGGGGCGGGCGGAACGCGCGGCGGGCCGCTGCACCCGCTGACCGCGCTGGCGGCGCTCAAGCACAAGCGCAAGAAATTCTCGGACTCGCGGCGCGCGGCGGAGGCGGAGGCGCTGCAGCGCGCCAGCTCGGTGCCGGCGCGCGCGCCGCCCGCCCCGCCGCCGCGCGCGCCGCCCGCTCCGCGCCCGCTCGCGCCGCCCTGCGTGCCGCCCTCCCCCACGGCCGAGAGCGTGCCCGGCAAGGGCAGTCGGGAGCCGCTGCTCGCCAGTCTTGACGACGATGCGCACAAGGTAAAGTACTTATTTCTTAACCTCTGCCCGCAGTGTCGTCCGCATCACACAAAAATAACACATTTGCTAGTCATTCTAATAACATTCATTTTGTACCAAGTCAGCACACTTGACACTGCTCTCAGTCAGAAAGCTCTATATAAATCAAACCATACTAAAAGCACATAAGGCTGTTTCCTATGATGTGTCTTTAACACTAAAAAGAAGGAAAGAAAACATAATAAAAATCCCTCAAACAAAAACAATGTTTGCGTCAATGCAATTCAGTAAAAGATCTGCTCAGTTATATAATAAAATTAACAGAATCGTTTATGTTTAGCCCTATAATTACTATAAATGCAAAAAGTAATAGAATGTAATAGATTGGATAAAACCCTTACTTACCGTACATGGTACCACGGTAATGTAATGCATATATTCGTGATGATACTGAAGCACTGTTACAACATATTCAATAAATACTCACTCACTCACGCACACATACACATACACACACGTACACACACACACACACACATTCACACACACACACTCACACACACACACACACACACACACACACACACACACACACACTCACACACACACACACTCACACACACACTCACACACACACACACGCACGCACGCACGCACGCACACACGCACGCACGCACGCACGCACGCGCGCGCGAGGCGAACGCGAGCGATGCGAGGGTGAGCCGCTAGTTACTTCATAAATTTGTAAGAATATTATGTTGACCCTACTAATTTACATCTATAATAACTTATTTTTAAGGTTGTTGTTTTACCTTGTATAATTGTATTAAGGATTAATAAATTTGTACGTTTTGTTATGAAAGGGCGGGGTCTCCTAATAGAGGAAAAAATTACTCGCTTAAAAGGCGACCTCAACTACAAACTTTTTTGACTCTGTATCTCTTTATGCAAATTAAATATTTTTATTTATTTTCTTTCACTCGGAAACCTACCTTTGACAATGAATCAAATTAAATTTTTATATACCTATATACATACACAAAAAATACATAATACACGTACTCGTATGTATATATTTCAGGAGCTGTGCGGACAGTGCGGGTACGACGCCGCAGACACGAGCCCGACCGCTGCAGACTCAAGTAGCGTGGGGGGCATGACAGGTTACTTTTAGTTTTAGTTTTTAACCCACTTCCAAACAGGAGGTTCTCTCTTTTTTATGTATGTTCACCGATTACTCGAAGACGCCTGAACCGATTTGGAAATTATTATTTTTTGTTTCGAAGGGTATACTACTATACATAGTTCCCAGATGGTCCCATTTAAATTATATTAAAATCGGTCTTTAAAAAATCAACAATAAAAATATTTTTTAATAAATTGCTTAATCGAATATGTTTTTAGAAAACTTTCTTCTTACAAATTACCTACTTATTACGTGTACACTAAACATGAAAAAAAAAACAAAAAAAAAGAACGACTTCCAGGCACCAAAATGTAAAAAATAACTAAACAGGGGTTTTCATTTAGAATAGATACCTAATCAGATATTTTCGAAGTCGGTGCAGACCGATGCAATTAATTTCAAAGCAAATCTAATATGTTTCGATACGTAAAATACATCACAAATTATGTATAATATTTTTCTTTTGGAAGTCGGTTTTTTTTTATATTAATTAAACACTATACAAAGATTGTTTATATAGTGATGTGTTGGTTTGTAAGCATAGTTTATACAGTGATACGAATCCCATAATATGCATAAGGATGTTTGTACTCAATCACGCCACAACGGCTGACAAATTGGCACAGAAGTAGGCTATAGTCTGGAATAGCAAAAAGGTTACTTTTTATCCCAGTAAAATTTACGGTTTCCGTGGGATAAATTTATTTTTCGACTATCTATTCCATACTAACTGTTAAAACGTACCAACGCTAGTATGTTGTAGCATGTATGTATCGTTAGACGACACGTTTGGTTCAGTTTGTAGTGATCATTTGTCTGATCAACACGAATGTTTGTACTCCAGTCATGGGTGATTATATTTATAATATGTATGTATTTAAAGTTATACATATGTGTAGTGTATCAACTATCTGGTATTCATAACACAAGCCTCGTAGCTTACCATGGAACTAGATGGTGCTCTGGGTTATGTCCCAACATATTTATTTCTTTATTATGCTTGTTTTATACATACGCTTACGAGGAAATAAATGTTATTAACTGAGATACTGTGTTGCGCAGAGGGCGGCGCGGGCGGCGGCGCGGAGGGCGGGGGCGAAGGCGCGGGCGCGGGGGGCTGCGCGCGCTGCGCCGCGCTGGCCCGCCTGGCCGGCGTCACGCCGCTGCACGGCCACGCGCCGCACCACTCCGCGGGCTGGCTATGACTCCTCACTGGCGGGCTGCTTGCGTGTTACCGCGTCTCATATCTTGTTTGCAGCATTTCTGTTGTTGAAAGCACAAAGATGCTCGGACCAGATACTTATACATATATTAGAAAAATATAGAATTCCACGCGAGCTGGTTGTCCTTCTCCTATTCTTAGTATATTTAAAATATTTGTTTTAGTATTTCTACGTACTAAAATGAATACCACAGACTAATATTAACTGGGTTGATGGCAGAGATTATAGTTACTATTAATAATAATTTATGACAAGAACGCACATTAATTATTATGAGTTATTAATTAAAAAAGCGTTGGACGTAATTTATTGAATTGCATTACGAATGCGCGAAATTTAAATTTGTTTTTTTTTTAATTTACTTAGAACGATTTAAAAAAATATATCAAATATTTATTGCATCTCATAGGTACTTAATCCATAAGATGATTTCACGCATGCGTAGCGCACTCGCTGGACCCCATGGCGGCTAGCCTTCAGAGGGATTTCGATTATAACGCACAGTAGTGACAGTACCTACCTAGTGGGTGGCAACGCGCGGAGCTGCCTACAGTAATATATGAATCAGCTGTTCCAGCGAGGGCTGATAGATATTATTTAATATAGATTTCTATTATTCTTTTAGAAAATAACACTAGTACATATTATTCGAACACCAACTAGTGACGTAGTCGCAATCGGTTAGTCGATAGTATCGCTGTAAGAGCATGTTTTATATACAACGTGTAACTTATATGTATACTGACGTAGAATTAACTAATTATACTTAGTTAGGTACATAGACTAAATATACAATACATCGTGTGTTCCAGAGCATCTCCAGGATAGGTTCCGTAGCGCGCGTTCACGATCTAGGAGTAAGCTCGAACAAGTTGAAACAGGGATTTTATGTGAAACATGTTGTCCAATTTACTACCGTTTTTATATCTTCCGTTAACTGTGTTACGATACATCCTGTGTTACATACACATAGGCTTCGCGTGCAATCACGCAGTGCGCCGCCGACGGCCGCGGCTGCCCTCAGGCCTCAGCAGTATCAGATCGGCAAAGCTGTGCAATGCCCACACTTATCGTATCTTCTATTAAAATATCATATATATTATTAATATAAAACATCTGTTTATCACTAAAAATTTGCTAAAATGATTTGAATGGAAAGACTACGTAGATGATTATATTATACCTATCAATGTTGAGGTGGCTGGTGCAGCGTGTAGTGGCCAGTACATACATACTCGTATGTATGAATGTATGTATGTATGTGTTCTACACGGTGCAGTTATACAAACGTCAACGACGTACACTGTAAGTAGCAATATCGTAATCATAGCATAATCACTCGCATTTAATCGAAAACTTTTGAAATATTTATACATAGATACAAGCAATGCTAAGTAGGTTAGTTACACTTTGGGTGCCGTTATTTAAACATTCAGAATCATAGTTCTTTATTTTAATACTCTGATATAATTATAAGAAAAACATAAATCATGTAAGTAAAAAATGAATTGACGACGTTGAACGACATACTTTCTTTAGTTTATATTATATTTAACAGTATAAACGAAAGATGTATTACTTGAGAGCTAATACAATTATTGGTTTTAAGTTTAAACAATATGTCGCGTGGGGACACTAAATTTCTAAGACAGATAAGTGAAGTTGCAAATTATTGTGTTAGCGAGTAGGTATGTGTTGTATGTCAGTGAGGAGTGAGGAGTGAGGACGCATGTGATGCCGTCTGTGCGAGCGCGCCCGCCGCCGCCGCCATATAATCCAAATAAAATCAAAATAGAAAGCGAGCAAGTTGCAAATATTCCATCTTTAATATTTAACAATTAGTAAATACATAATGTCCAATGTAGTTTTATTATTATAAATGGTGCGTGAAATGAAATGTCAATTGAAATGCTTCAGGCTGACCTGAATTTAGATATATGTTCCCAAGATTCCCCAAGAGCATATTGTAATAGCATCCATATCTCAAAGATAATTTGAAATTTTGAAAAACGCTTAGACTAGTTAGCTAATGGCGGACGGGCGCGCGTTATTATTATTTACATGGTTATAATTGAGTATCATTGTGTATCGTACGAGTGTCGTACGTGTGTCGTAGTCACCGGAGGCCTTCTCGTGTTTAGTTGTTGCGTAAACACATAAACGATTTATATTTTGTAAAGAGTTGTTGTTTATTTATACATTATATTTGTATATAACGGTGCGAACTTTAATAAAATAAGCACTACACAGTGTGTTGTTTCATTTTGTAACCCATCATCCTAATTTCTTTAGCAAAGTAAAATTATCTAAACACTGAACAAAGCAAGTACAGGTACCTAGTAGTACCTTAAGCTAGGTACAAGGTAGGTACCCCCCTCCCCCTCCTTCCCCCGACGTGCGTTCACCTTGTCGTGGTGGGGGTGTTCATTAGCGACCGGCAATCCAGCCGGTAGCCGGCTGTTGTAGTCGTCCTGCGACGTCCCATTACGACGGGGGAGGTTTTGTTTAGTGGGTAATACTGGTTTTTCTAGCCGGTGAGACCCACATAACCACCTGTATGTATACAGGTTTTAAATGGACAACTTACATGCGAACATTGGAAGTTAACAAAAAAATTGCCACAATATGGTGAATTATGAGTCGCACTTATATTTTTTGGTTCGAGAGAAGAGTTCGTAAGAGCTATTCAAAAGGTTTTAATAAAACACATTTTTGTATGATAGAAATATTTATTTTTTACATTCATCCATACTACATTCACTGTCGTTTCTGCTGACTGCTGTCATCAGTTACATTGTGTAACACAACATCGAATAAATATTCAAAACGCTTCCCTCCTTACGACATTGTCCAATAAACCACTAGATAAGTAGTGTTTCAATTATGAGATAGGATCAACAATTTCAGTAGCAATATATGAAATGAGAAGTCAGCTCAAAACAATGTCACAAATATACTTTTCGTTTTTTAAAACAATGCCAAATGGGAGAGAAACGAACAATAATACATACATTTTGTGTCACAATTTCAGTTTCAAATCATTTGAAAATGGCGAATAAATTTAGATCACGTACACTAAACATAATAAATAATAAAAAAATATAGTGGTACCGTATACTAGTCTATACAGTCTTTTAACAAAAGTTCGAAACTGAACGACGCCTGCGGACACACGAGTGTCGTAATACTGACTATCAGACATCAGTAATCACATTTATTTTTTACGACAGTTGGGAAATCATTCATGATCGACGGGTACAATTGAAACTTGCCAAGAGGTGGCACTATATAGGGTTTTAATTTTAAAACCGGTCGCTATGAAAATTGGTATTTTGACAACCCTAGCCAAATGAAAGAGCTGTTAAAAGTACCAATAGTAACCGAAGCGATCGCGTACTACACGGAATTATCCATAGACACAGAGAGTCGACCGAGTGTTTCTTTGCTAGCCGTCAGCTAAAAACGACGGGCAGGCGCGACAGAGACAAAACGAACATGCGGTCAGAAGTGTTCTGTATTCATGGTAATACAATAAATGATGATATTGTATAGTACGATGAATTTCCCTATGGCGGCGGCGCCAGGTCGAGCGGCTCGTAGTCTGGGCGCGGCGGGCGGCGCACGGCCAGGCGCAGGCGGCCGCCGCGCGCGCGCAGCAGCACGCCGCAGCCGCGCGGCGCAGCGCCGCGCTCCGCCGCCAGCGCCAGCGCCGACACCACGCGCCGCTCCACCTCGTGCTTGATGCTGCGCGCGCCGTAGTGCACGTCGTACCTGCGCACAACCACACACATTTCAACTTTTATAACATAAAAAGCACTACTCGAAATATATTGAATATAAATAAAGTTACTTCTGCTCTCTTTTTGCTTTTGGAGTCGCTAAATCATGAAGAGTTATGGATTAAATTATTTAAAATGCACTATTTTACTGCTTCGATCGATAAATATACGATATAATATTGTTTTTAACATTTTAAACCAAATACTTAACATTTAAGTGTATAATAAATATATATTTATTCATTTAAAAAAATATAAACATAAAAAAGTGTATGTATACTTATGTACGCACGTAAGAAGTTATACTTCTTTGGCGTAACAGAACGGAAGTAACTCCAAAAATTTTATCCTGCGTGCCAATACTATACGTTACGTACGTACGTACTTCACAATTCGACGGAGCAGCGTGCGACGCGGTTGGCTACTATATTTAGTAATTACTTATTTAGTGTTTTTTGAAGTGTCTTTGTGATATTTAAATATATTTAGAAAGTATCTACATCTATACATATAATAAAATTCTAACTAAATCGAATCTGTAATGTTCAGATTCGGCTTAGTTACAATTTTATTATATGTATAGATATCTACTCGAACTAAATAATAAGTATAGTTACGTACATCAAACTGATCTTCACAGCAATGTCTTGTAGCCTTTTTTTTTTTTTTTTTTATGTCGGGAAATGCATTTACGCATACCACCTGATCCCCCAGGTGGTGATGTGGGGCTCACCGGCTAGAAGAGCCGGTACTACCCACTAAAACCCGACATTATATTATATAGGGGAGGGGTCCCCTCCGCCTTAAATGTCTTGTAGCCTGGGCAGAGGGTGGAGTTTATCATCTCTTTTTACAACGGAAAACCATTTATTACGAAGTTTTGGGTCCTTCGGTACGTTAAAAAATAGTTTTTCTGGCGTTTAAAAAGTAGTGTTTGTACATTTCGGCACTATACAATATTTGTACATAATTAAAAACGTGAATTAGACACAAATTGGACACTTATTTTTTGTTTCAAAGTCATTAAAACACTGCGCGCCTTATTGCTGCCAGCGGCTTACTGGCGGCGACCGTCACTATGACGTCACCACTATCGCGGCGGCCACGAGGTGAACTTCGCTAGTAATTTCTTCATAACTTCGTCAATTTTTGTCGTAGAACAAAATTTTTTGCACTGTATGTTAAGGATTTCTTAGCTCTATAAATCTGCATTCTCAACTAAAAACGTTACGGATCCTCATTAAAAAAAGTAATACAGTCAAAATCTGTTATAACGACATCGAAGGGACCACTCATATTTGGTCGTAAAAACCGATAGTCGTAGCAGCCGGTGATGGTTTTTAGGTACAAAGTATTTTTTTATAAAGTGGTATTATTGAATGTGTACATATAGAGAGAGAGAGAGAGAGAGAGAGAGAGAGCAAACGAAATCTTCACCAAAACGCTGAGCAACATCGTTTGCTTTTTGTTGAAGAATTGGTCCATTTATTGGCACATTATTTGTCCTTTGATATTTAAACCACTTTAACAAATCTTCCTCAATCTTCGTATTCTACGTTGTTCTGGCTCATTTCATTTTCAAAAAATTGCTGCCCAAAAGGGTTTGAATTTTTTCCCTCTCTTTCGAAATGGTTGACATTTTCGAGTGTGATACACCATATTCTTTTGCCAAGACTTTGTTTGGAATTTCGATCTCTAGCTTTGATATAATATGCGATTTTTCCTTGATATTAATTTGTTTTCTTTTTCTTTGCGACATGTTAAAAGTTTCACAACTAACTCGACTATATGATTTGGTGCGTCTTGTGTACAGATAAGTAAGAAACGGACTGAAGAGATATGAAGAAGCGGGTTTTGATTATATTGCATGCACGTGTATTTTGTTTCTAAGAATTACAAAAGATCCCTAAACTCGACAAGTTTTTGTTTACTCTGAAGATCTTAATAGCCATTGACCATTATGCTGATCCCCCGAGGGCTAGATGTGGATTCTGTTACCTATTCAAATTGTTTACAATACAGCTGGTCGTTCTAACAGATATAATTCCCCGAAGATAATAGTTAAATGTGGTCGCTTAAAGAGGTATGTCGTAATAAACAATGTCGTAAAAAGCAATATTTTTAATAAGGCGGTCATATAGCATTCAGCCGGGACCTCTGATTTTGGCCAATATAACCGATATGTTGTTCTAAACGTTGTCGTCATAAACGGTTTTAACTGTAATTTAATAAATGAGAATGGCTACCGACAAGCAAAAAAACTTTTGTTAATTACATGAATATACATATAAAACATTACAAAATAATAATTTTTATATAATTTAAAAAAATAAAACATATCTCAGTTAACCTCAATAATATGACGCTGATGTCATGCGACACCCCTTTGCTCCCCCCAAGCTCATACATTAATTCATACACATTGTCACGAGTACCAGGGCACCATACACATCGAGCAACACGTTGAAGCTCATCGAAGAAAAGTCTGCACCGATTGCACACGGATTTCTTACAACGTACACTCCTCAACACTTATGATCGCCTGGTACTTTTTTGTCACTAGTACTAGGGGACCGCGAACGCCAGGGAGTGCATACGAGCTCTTTAACACTTACGCTCGCCTGGTACTTGTGATCACGTCACATGGGATGCTTTTTAGTAAATGTAGAAGCATAACCTTTTTTGTTACGTGACGATTTCCCTTACACGCCAAAAGAAATATAACTTCAAATATCCTTATTAAGTATAGAATTTTCACAGAATGATAATAGATATATAGATAAAGGGCTCACCCGTCCGCAAGCGCCCCCAGCACGCCGCCCTCCCACTTGAGCTCTATGTTGTGTCGCGTGCGGGCCTTCTCTGCCCACGCCTTCAGCTCCATCTGCAATCAACAAAATGTACTTTATTCAAAATAACACTTTTAAATTAAATTATTATTAAGTGCGCTCAAAAGCTTAAAGTTCTGCTGAGATGAGCGAGTTAAAAGCTGTTACGTTAGTTAAGTCGGTTAAAAATAATGAAAATGGCTTAGCGAGCACCTGCACCAGCGTCAACAGCTCCTGGCGGGAGAAGGGCAGGAAGTACACGATCTCGTTGATGCGGCCGAGGAACTCGTCGCGCCGGAAGTGCCTCTTGAGGATGGGTCGCACCACCGTGTCCTTAAATTTGCGAGACACTTGCAACGCTTCCTCTTCTGTGTCAGCCTCAGCGGGCGCTACTTCTGAGGTTTCGTCGTACTCTTCTGTAATTTCGATAAACATCATTTGAAAAGATTACCAAAATATTATCTAACATAATGTTTGATAATATTTTGGTAATATTTTCATGAGAACCCAATGGCTGGCTCAACACCAATCAGCTTAGAAATTACTAGACATCTTTTGGCTGAGATAACTAATGAGAGTTATTTATTCTCATATAGAGTACAGACAATGGAAAGTCGCATAAATATTCCCTAGTAATATTGGAATTCTTATAAGGATTCCGAATACTACGAGTATAAAAAATGTTTAATCCCTGCCATGTAAATATTATCGGATGTACCTACTGTTGACGGAACTGGTTTCAACAACTCACCCCTGGGTGTGTCGGCGGGCGCGGGCGCGGGCGCGGCGGGCCCGCGGGAGCACTGCGCGGCGCGCGCGTCGGCCTCGCGCCGCAGCTGCAGGCCATACTGCGCGATCTCATCGGCCGCCAGGTTTGACGTCATCACGAATATCGCATTCTTGCACTCTATTAGTTTGCCCTTGCCGTCCGTTAATCGACCCTGTGGGCGACAAAACGTGACCATCCATTATATGGCAAACATTTTGGGGCTTGCTTATTATTCATTCATGAGCGTCACAAATTTTGAGGCAGGTATTTCTTGAATAATTCTTGAAAAAGAAACATTTATTCATATTTGTTTTAAATAATGAAACCTTTCCAAAAATTAAAATGCACAAGCTATAATAACCTCATCAAAAAGTTGTAATAGAACAGTGAGAACATCAGGGTGTGCTTTATCGACTTCGTCAAACAACACCACGGCGTCGGCTCGTCGCGCGAGCGCCCGCGTCAGCTGGCCCCCCTCCTCGTGTCCGACGTAGCCTGGTGGAGCTCCAATTAATTTTGCAACTTCGTGCTTTTCCTGGTATTCCGACATATCGAGTCTAATGAACGCCGCAGGGTCGTCTCGATGCATATACCTTGCCAGTTGTTTAGCAAGTTCCGTTTTCCCTATTCCTGAACTTCCTAAGAAAAGGAATACGAGTGGGTGCTCCTCATCGGCCCATCCGTTTTCTTTTCGGCGGACTGCAGCGGCGACGGTTTCGATGGCAGCGGTTTGACCGACGATGTATTGTTTGAGGCGTTGTTCTAAAGGAAACCTTAGTCTTTCCTCGGCGGCGGCGGCGGCGGCATTTTCCTCCCATCGGTGAACATGCTCGACGATAACATCGCGAGTCGCTGAGGGATCTCTTGCGTAGTGGAGTGCTCGTCGTCCAGCGTGGTCCCTCACGGTGGGATCGGCTCCGGCTTCGAGCAACGCCTTCGCAGACACTGACGAGTCCGCTAGCGCTGCGTAGTGTAAAGCTGTCCAACCGAGGAAAGAGGCACGCGCGTTCATAGCGCTACAGAATTCATCTTCTCGTCTCTGTAACACTTCTAAGGGGTGTAAGCCTGTGCTACTCGCAGTTGCAGAAGCGCCCGCATAGTGCTCGCGTAAATCGGGCTTCGCTCCGAGGCGCAGGAGCTCTGTAACCGCGCTGGGTTGATCGTTAGCAGCGGCTACCATTAGAGCAGTCCAGCCGAGAACATGTCTCCGATTAGCTGCTCCTCCTTCCCCACCACCATCAATAGAACTTCGTCCACCATCATTCGTAGCTCCTACTTGTCTGCAAGATAATATTTATGTATTATAGAATATTTAAAAAAATGCTTGAGAGGATGTTGGCTTCCTCATTGCTATCCCTTGGACTTTCACGCAAGCACCTTTGAAGTAGAGTGGTTTTATTGTTAATGTTCATGTAACTTTTGTGTTACTAATAAAGGATAAAATTTTGTATTAAAATCATTATTGGAGAAAGTCTATTGTTCTCCTTAAATAATTAAGTCAAATTCAAATTACTTAAATTATAATCTTATTTGCCTACAGTGTGACCTTGAGCGACAGTTATTCTTATTCCAAAATTAAACTTTCAATGCACAATACTTATTACAAAAAATATATTATTAATTATAAAAAACAATTATTAAAAAACATATATATTGAATTAAATTTAAGTAATTAATTAATAAAAAAAAATTAATTATTAAAAAACATATATATTTTGTACTTTTTAGGCTAGCCCTCTAGGTGGACTTATGCATTATTACATTGAGTATGTACTTACTTTGTTGACTTACTGATACTATATCAATGAACATATACTTCTTACATTTTAAAAACAAGTGAGCTAATTATCAAAAAATCATTTTTTCATCCAAATCATACAAGAATTTCGAAATTCCATTTTCAACTTACTTACGAAGCTCTTGAACATTTCCAACTTTTGCAGCATTAAAAAATCTCTTTTCTGTAACAAAACAAAAATTATTAAAAACAATGTGCAGCCAAAGATTCAATTGTCAAAAGTGGATAATGAAGCATATTATACATCACAAAGGTGATAAAATATGCAAAGATCAGAAAAAGCTCAATTAAAAAAAATAACACAATCTTGTTTTTATTATTTTTAGCACCATTAAGATTTTAGTTAAAATAATACGTAAAAATAGGCAAAATATGCAAATACATATTATACAATCTTTAGTATGTATTTCTAAAGTAGAAGAAACTTTAACTTAATGACAACATACATAATAAAATACTAGTAAATTAATATTGAATTCCTTAAAATGGTTGAATATTATGTAACAATAATTAATAAATTGAATAGAAATATTAGTTTATTATTATCACAGGGACAGGGTCTTTTTATATATGAAAATATTAGAAACATCTTTTTAGTCAGCTTAAAATATAAGAATAGAATAACAATATTAAATATTTTCAAGTACTTAAAATAAAAAGTGTTGTATAAGTAATTATATATTTTATACATTGTATAAAATTTTATATATTAGATAACTAGCGACTCACCCTGGCTCCCCTCGTGTTCGTCCCTAGGTGTTTCTCTAAATTGAACTATTTTATTTACGAACCAGTTGAAATAAAGCAAATACTAAATGTTAAGTGAAGCTTACCACAATATATTAGTGAAAACCGCATCCAAATCAGTTAAGCCGTTTCTGAGATTAGCGCGCACAAACGCACAGGCAAAAATTCTAACAATTACAATTTTGGGTTCTATTGCATAAATAAAGACCCCCAATGATAGTTTTTCTCAAATATCTTCCATGTACAGACAGCAATCAGTTTTACTTTTATTATATGTATAGATTACTTGCCCATACGTACATATTAACTGTATTATATAGTGCGTTTATTAAAAATACAAACCATTATATACATATTCAGCAGCGACTAGTGCAAGACCTATAGATGCAGCGAGGAAGTACCGATTATGATTTGGTTGTGAAGACGGAGGCTTGGAAGAAGTCAAGCCGCAAGAAGCGTATCTATAAGCGGGAACTACAGCCAGACGGGTTATGATAGGACCCCGTCGAGCTATTCTATACACAGCAGATCTCATTGTGGACAGTGCAGACATTGTTTTGTAATTTTTATTTTAATATCGATTTAAATGAATCTGTCCTGATGCAATACACTATTTACAGTAGTGCAGCATGTTTGCTTCACTTATTATGAAGATTTTCAATCATATTTATGATTTTTCTTTTAATTTATATTTTTTTACCGACTTACATCATTATTGCCAATAATTAAAATGTTGACAAATGACATATTTCTGTTGTGACTTGTGAATTGTGATAGTTGTAAGCTCTCCATTTAATAAAAGTATCTATATAAGGAGAAGTTTTCTCGAAAGGAGGGCGCCACACGTATTACCTATTTACATTCAGTCTGAGGTTAAGCAATTTATTATGATATCTCTTGTATATCTGGTTCTTTGCTTCTATTGTGTTTTCTTCCTACCTTTGTAATGTATTATACTTGGAAGTTAGACCAGCTGAAGGAAAAATTGACAATGAGAGGTGCATGCTGAGGTGGTCCTGACTGATTGATCGATCAACACACGGCCTGAGCCACTGGTCGTAAAAACATAAAATTTGGAAGACATATTCCTTATACGATGTAGGCATCCGATAAGATAGGATTTTTTGAAATTCATCCTCTAAGTGGGTAAAATAGGAGATTAAAGATTGTATGAAAATCTGTCATTCTTAATGTGAAATACACAGAAAGTGGTGTTTAGCTTTAAGATAAAAAAATTACAAATAAGTTTAAATGATTTTTCTCGAAATTCATCCTTTATGGGGTAAAAGGGGTAACCAAGTTTATATGGGCAAAGAATTATTTATAATCAGAACTACTTGAAACTTGGAATTAACGCTCTTCAATACAATTAAATAAATATTAAATACGTGTTTTAGCATTTTTCAAAATTCAATCCCATTAGTTAGTAAAATGGGAGATGAAAGTTTGTACGAAACTCTGTAATTAATATATAAAAAAGTGCAAAAAAACAAAAAAAATATATATTTACCTGTAGACCAGTTTTACTAGACAACTTGTTATTTTAATTAAATTTTAAATAAAATAAAAAAAACCATCCATGCTAAAGAGCTTTACAATGTACCGAGGGCTATAATGTTCGCGGCATCTGGCGGGATAAAATGGCAAAATTCTTGACCCCCTGTGTTTTACAATATTTGTTGACTAATAATTCAATTAATTATCATTTTAATTATAAGCAATTTATTAAAATTGCGTTTATAATATAATTTGATGGAATAGAAGTTTACTTTATAACTTTTGAACGTTTAATTCATAGTTTGATGCTGCCGCACTCTATCACATCTGTTTGACAGTTCGATACACTTTTGACTTTAATTTTAATCGAAGGTGTGCGAATATATTGAATTGGACTCATTCAAATAAAACAAATATAATGTTCTAAATTTTTATAGCAATATAGAAATCATAGTTAATTAAAAAAATATAGTGGCCAAGAGCTGGCGTGTGTCGACTCTTGATAGTTTCAGTTTGTTTATAATCACCACCTATTTATGTGTTGACATATGAAGTGTGTCTGTTTGTATAAAAAGTTTCGCGGGGAATTGCTGGTTGATAGTAGAAAATGGCTCTGGGTGGAACTGCGCTCCTGCAAAACGCTACGATGTTGGAACAACTCCTCGAAGAGATTAATTTTCAGCGTACCAAAGAAATGCGACAGTTGATGAAAGATGGTAAGTTTTCGCAGCTTTTCAAAATTTGCCCATTTTGAAAGCAATGTATCTTAAATACATGCTTTACTTTGAAATCATAATTATACAAATCTAGTATTGAGTAAAACAATGTAACTTTACAAACAATTAATCATTACTACTACTTATTATTATGCATCTAACATAATAAAATAAATTATAAATTAAATAAATATTATATATTGATAGCTTATTAAGTTATTACTACATTTATTGATTAAATGAAATCACCACAATTAAGTTTTTGATAACTTACAAGCATATTTTATGTATTAAATATTATAGGCAGCAAGCCAGGGATAAATGTTTTAAATACATTGAAAGCTAGTGTCTGATACCAGTGTTATAAGACAATTTTCTGTTAGTAAGGTTCCAACAAGAATGAAATCTATTTATGAGATTCTAAAATAATGAAAGTTGTTAAATTAAGGAACTAACACTTATTTTTGAAATATTTTAATTTTCTTTACAGCTTATTAATCTAATAGCTTATTAATAATTAAATAAATAATATATCCCAAGGAAGCCATTCATTTTTCTGGGATTAAAAGTAGCCTATGTGCTATTCCAGATTATCTCTGTGCCAAATTTCATCTAAATCCATTTAGCCCTTCTGGTGTGATTAAATAATGAACATCCATCCATCTAAACTTTCGCACCTATATAGTAATAATATAAAGGATTAATGCTGGATCCACACCCTTGTCATGCACGATCAAGCCATCACAAATTCAAATATGTGGAGAAGATGTTAAAAGCCTTTTTTTGTGTAGATTCAGTAAGCCATAGTCGGTTTTACTGTATAAATCAAAGGAAGGTTTGTGGCAAGTGCTTGCAACCACATATTTGTTATTATTGATATACCTATATTTATATGTTTAATAAATTCCAAAAAAAACTACCTTGTGCTGTATCTATTATTTTTAAACACCATCTGTTTTTTTGACTTTGATTTAAATAAAAATAAGTTAAAGCAAACATAATCCCTCCACGAATGCAGACGCGCCGGCGTTACAGTTAACAATAGATTTCTTAGAAATTTACCTGGAGGTGTTAATAGCGGGTACAAGCCTGATATCCATTGTGCTTGCTTCTCCGAAATAAGCACACTCTCAAGTCTCAAGCATGTGGATACCTATGTTTCCTTTAAATTTAGCCAAGTGTTTGTAGAGGTTTTTAATTTTTGGCAAATGTCAAGCATGTGGATCCAGTCCTTAAAAATACTGTTCCAAAAATATTTATTACTTAAGTATATTTAAATTATTATATGAGACTCTTAACTTACTAGCAGTAAAACATGAGAAAAGGATAACAAATGTAAAATCTTTAACTTTCAATAGATCAAATATACAAATGAGCATTAAATATTTTAGGTATACAGTAGAATCCTCTATAATGATATAGAAGGGAACTAAAAACAGATAATACTAAGCGGACATCATACTAAGCGTAGTCTTAGAAAATAAATAACTTCCTATTTTTTATAGGTATTTAGTTTAATAGAAAGAAAAAACTACACATTGTATTTATATTGTATGTGTATTAAGTAAAAAAGAGAAAAAGAAATATGAACTGACTGAAACAGAGAATAAAAATTGTACATAATAGATATTTTTTACATAATACATATTTTTCATTTTTTACATAAGAAATGAATTGTTTTTGTCTGTTTCTGTTTTTTCTTTAGATTGTAGTAACAGCTAGTAACAATATAGTGTAAAGAAGACATTGCCCTGGTACTATACTATCATTTTCAATATAAGAGCGAAGATGTTAGGAAGCATGTCAGTCACTAATGTGACATAATTTCTTAAAAATAGATCATAATAATAATAATAAGACTTTTTTACTGTTGTAAAGAATTTTATATGTAAACCAAACTAATATAGACTGAGACAGAGTCCTAATAAACGTTTTCCACTGTACTATATTATGCATACAAATATATTTTGCAATTACATGAGATCTGTTATGTGAAAGATGAATCATGACTTGGATTCCAAAGGGAAGTAGGTAATTAATGAGATTTATTAGTCTCATAATTATTATGTAAAAATCCGGCCAAGTGCCAGTCGGTCTCGCGCACGAAGGGTTCCGTACCATTATCTATAAAAACGGCAAAAAAAATCATGTCTGTTGTATGGGAGCCCACTTAAATAATGATTTAATTCTGTTTTTTATTATTTGTTGTTATAGCGGTTCATTACATAGAGCCTGGTGACAGACGGACGGACAGCGGAGTCTTAGTTATTACTAAGACTGCTATTATAAGAAAATATATAAGAGTGCTATTGCACAGATCATATAATACTATACTAGCTAATAGAGTTCCGTTTTACCCTTTGGGTACGGAACCCTAAAAATGATAAAGAACTAAGCATATGAATCAGGTTTATAGCTTGTCGTTTTGTCCTCCTCTACCCTTGCTGGTGGTGGAACGCTGGTGAACAGTATGGAAATATAGTATGCCTATGTATTTTTTGTTCTTGCTTTTCATGTTGATGCACTGCCATGAAGGAAAATATATAGAAAAAGTTAAACAAATAAAATTATATGAGTAAAGTCCCGATTTAAAAGATATTTTTAAAGAAAAGACGATAAATAAGATAAATATAAATAAAAATTATAAAGTTAATAATTTAAAGATATCCTTGTAGTTAAATGTAAGGAACAGATGCACCCTCCTGGATATAACTCTGCCGCCGCTCCTCAATAGAGTAGAGAGAATACAGATTAATTCTTTGCACCTAGTTCGTTACCTAGTTTAGAATTTTTGTGTTGAAAATATTAGGATATGGATAATTAAAACTACGACCTTTAGAAAAGACATTTATTGAACTTTTAATTACAACAGCAATGGTATAAACAATTAATTATACTCACTAAAAGATATCGAACATGATTTTAATTATTTAGGGTTCCTCAAAGGCTTCGATGAAACTCTAATATTAATCAAAGATCACCATTATAGTATCTACGTAGTTCTTTGAACACAAATGTTCTATAAACATGTAAAAAAACGACTTGTTCATTATACATTTATGAAAAGTCTAAATATTGAGATCTAAAGCGGAACCCATCACAATATCTATTTGGCCGGTTCAAATATATAGGTACAGAAACATTATACAGAAAGCAATTTCTGCCGTTTCGGAATGTGTTCAGAAACTTAGCCGCAGACGGCTCCCCCGCATAGTGATATTTATTGACGAAAATAACAAAAGCAGTCTGATTGTGCTGTTGTTGCCAACTCTTACACGCGACATCATCAAGCATAGTATAAATTGTTTGTTGATGTAACTTTCACGAGGTTTTCGTCAATATTATCACTGTGTCTAAAGAATATAATATCGGCAAACAATAAATTTATATAATTATTTACACTTAAAACAGAACGCCTGTAGAAAGTTAGTATCCTAACAACAATGGTTAAATTCATTAGGCTCCTCCTGTGTAATAAAAGGCAGGCTATGATTTAAATTATGTACAAACAGTGCAATTCATCGTGATCTCGAGTCACACGATGCAAACAACAAAAATAACATATAATAAAATAAACTAAATAAACAAGTAGCATATTAAACACCAGCCACCGCGTCCTCACAACTGCTCAAGTTCATCCTGTTCCTAAAACAAGCTCATATCGGTTCAGACTCCGGCAGTGGGCATTATATAAATCTACTGTGTATGACATCTCAATTACAAGGAAAGTACTTAGTTCAGCTCGTTTTACTTAAACAATCTTTTCCAGAAGCATAAAAATGTCAATAAGCAATAACTAATCGGTATGCACATTTCACAGTAAGCGATCTTCAATTACAATTGTTTTATGCAAATTACATCTAAACATTATTTAGGTAAAGAATTACTTAATATTTTCGAAGGCACTTTACATATAAACATGTCTTGGATTCTTTGAAATTTGTGTACACGTAATATGCGAAGTAACGTCGTGGTTTCTATAATTTGTTGTATTTATAACATTGCGCTAAACACATAATTACAATACATAATTCTATTCTTCCTCTCGCAATATAATGTTGCTGTATTTAGGTATTTTAAGCGATGGTATTGTCATATGGCCCGTGTTACAGAGTCGGGCTTCGTGGTGCTTCAGGGTACTACGTACTGGACAGATCTGTTTGTGCGGCACTTTCTCTTCCAAGAAGAACAGTCCATAGACTGCGATGATTTGTTGTTTTTTGTAAGAAAGCGCCACGTCAAAGGTTCTTCACGCTACTTGCCCAAATATGAGGTAAGGGACAAAGATGAATTATTATAATATATAATATTTTTGTTTATATGACATTTATTACAACTTATTTAATTATTCATACTTATAACATTATTTTTATGTCGTAAATAGTAAGATTTTAGGATACACATACATACAACAAAGAACCGAAGATACCGGCTTAATAATGATTTATTTTGTTCAATTGCGTTTCAATGCCTTTACTGTATATATTTTCTACAGAATATACATATGAATCTTTCAACAACCGAATTATATATGACATTTATCCAATATTTGAGTAGAATTATATTTGTTGTATTGAATGTAAAGCAGAAGCCTCAAGAATATGTATAAACCATGAGATTCTTATTAATATTTAGTAACTAAAGTACTTCAATAATTATTCTGGATTTCAGGCCATAAAGGAAATATTGTTAGTTTATTTCATTGTTGATTTATCTCTTAATTTCTATGCATAAACTCAAATGTTTAACTACATCAAGTTCTTTTACAATATATAAAGTCATTTATATAAAAATATTTCCTCGCAGTTAATTGTTTTGTGCACCTAATGATCCCAAATATACTATAATGCAAATAGTAGTGTAACCTGGACGAGAATGTCGAATCAAAGGTAATAGTGAAGTGCCAAGGCGCCCCTACCTGCAGAGTCTGAGCCCAGTCCAGGCTCTGCGGCACACGTGCTAGGTTAGCACCATTTGGATTATAGATACTATTCTATCAGAACAACCTTTGGATATACAAAAAGTTTTGGATTGTTAACAGTTGTGTACTTTATTTTAAACGATATAAAAATATTATTTCTTACAGTAGGCTGTTATTACAATATGACACACTAAGAGTTTATACGCGACAAGACGCTCAGATCCTCGAACTCTCACTCATCTCATAATTATCATAAACTAATCACAGTATATTTTGTTAATAAATATTATGCTTTGTTAGACTCGAGATTGTTCAATAACCACTTATAAAATATACAATTTACAAAACAAAAATTCTACAACAGTCAATAGTACATAATTGATCGATTATTGTTCCTGTCTGACGAGAATCGAATCTTACATCTACTCAACAATAAAAGCATACGAGGTCGTCGTCGACAAGTAGTTCGCACTAGACATAAGGATTATCACATTTGACACTCGGCGGTGCTCGGACGAGTCACCGGCTCACCCGCCGCCCGGTCGGCCGGTTTGTTCGCAGACGGACGTGGAGGTGTTTCGCAAGGACTCCAAGAAGCTGCCCATCGGCGACCCGGAGATCGACTGGGAGGAGACCGTCTACCTCAACCTGATCGTGCACCAGTTCGACTACACGCTCACGCTGGCCATCTGCACGCGGACCAGCCCCAAGGAGCTGCAGGTGCTGAAGCGGCACTCGCAGAAGGTGAGCGTCATACGCGCTCCGGTGGCGGCGGCGGCGGCGGCGGGCGCGCGCGTCACTAGCTGAGCCGGCTGAAGAGCTTGGTGCGCGGCCACGGCAGCGGCCAGTCGTAGCGCCGCGGCACGGGCCCGCGCACGTTGCGCTCCAGGTACGTGAACATCCCGTACCACCACTCGCGCTGGATCATGTAGTGGCCGTAGCCGCCGCCGCTCCGGTGCGGCGTCGCCAGCAGCGAGTGGAACGTCCAGAACAGCCGCGTGGTGATGTAGTACGCGATCACCACGTCCACCGTGTAGTGCCCGTGCGCGAGCAGCACGAACGTCACGCCCAGCAGCGCCGAGCCCCACATCGCCCAGTGCACCGGCCACAGCTTCTTGGGCGAGTACTCTGCCACTATCAGGTAGCTCAGCACCAGCACCATCGTGTGCCCGGAGTATATGTAGTCTCCGCAGTAAGTATGCTTTCCGTTTATAGACAGTCCGAAGCCGGATATTAAATAGAACATTCTCCTTATAACGACAAATGGCGTCGTAGCGTTGTTGCTCTTGGGACTGCAGACGTAGGTTTTGCTCGAGACCGGCAGCACGGTGACAAACATCGTAACCGATCGGTACAGGTAGAGTAGGCCGATCACGAAAAATACGCGTCGAGCGACGATGAACCGGTGCTTATGGAAGATGACAACGAGCATGGCGACCGTCGTAGATATCATGATCAGGTATTCCGACACGGCCAGGCCCCAGTCGTGTGCTTCAATGTTGTCTAACACTATATCGTTCAGCGGCGGCGTCGTGTTTCTGTCCGGAAGTCGTTCGTGTACTAAGGATAATGACATCATGTTGATGCAAACGCAGATAAACAGGAAAAAGAAGGATAATATCGTTTTCCATATTTCTTTCGGATATCTCTCTTCGCGCACCGTCCCGGGCGGTATCTCGACCATGAAGTCGCCGGCATGAATGCGCTGAGGTGAGTGGTCCTGGTCGGGGTCGGATTCATCCGTGGTGGGCTGCGGCGCGTCTGTCTTGACGGTGCGCGCTAGCAGCGGCTGCCGCTGCATCAGCTCGGCCTGGCTGGGCATCTCGCGTGTGTCGGTGTGGCGTCGCGAGGCGTTGTTGTTCAAGTCATTCCGTTTGAGTCGCGCCTCGAAGTTAATGCCCTTGATGTCCTCGCGGGCCGTGCTCGTCACTATGTCGACATGGCAGACCGGCGGCGGCGGTGGGGGCGGGGGCGTCGGCGAGGGCGCGCGCGGCACCAGCGCTAGCTGCTTGGCTGGCAGCTCATTGGCGAGGTACACGCGCACCGACTCGACCAGCGGCTCTGCGAAGTTGATCTGCTTTGGCGGCGACGGCTCCTTATCCGGGGAGCGTGCTGAGATCGTCATCCAATCACCATTGGTTTGTATTGCACCTGAAATTGAGAAAAAAATCATATTAATTTAAGCGATCAAACAGTATAGTTAGAGCAGTCAGTTTTTATCGTATATTATGTGCATTGAGTATAACGTTTATATTATTATGCCTTACAAGTAATATAATGAAACCTAGTGCCCGTTAGGTTATACGGTATACATATATACTTCACTATATAAGTATCACATTCTTGCCTGATACGTTTTAAATTTCTTTAAATATTTAGTTAAATATAAAATATGATAGTTCTAGGATAACTAGTGTAATTGCCACTAACTGTACTAACAGGAATGTAAAGTTCTATTTTGCCTGTATATTTCCTGCTAATCATGCACGCATCGTAACACTCGGAACTTCATTCGCACTCACTTATAGCAAACACGCTATATTTAATTGTCGATTCTAGACGTTTCAACGTTGTAAACAAATTAAAACTCATGAACGAGTAGCACAGTTCAAAGACCGTAGTGACAAAGCACGAGGGGCGCGCGGAGGCCGCTCTCTTTTGTGTCATTTGCTAATTAACGCTCGATGTTTGTGCGAGCTGCGAGTCAGAACTCTAAACGTCAACCGTCGCGCGGCCTGCGAGATACACTCGCCAAACAGACAAATATAGATCGTCCGAGGCAGATTTCACCGTGCACACGCGCGGGTCTCGCCTGGCGCATGCATCGTTAGAAAGCGCACCGAAGAAACGTCTCAACCGTGCTGTACTACTGTACCGGGACTCACTCGATCAATGGGCGAGCTGTCATTCCGGCCGAAGGCGGCTCATCGATTTGGCGTGTCCCGAGCGATAGAAAGCCAGAGCGCCGAGCGTCCGACAAATTCAGGGCTAAACGAGGTCACGACGAATCACTATCTCGCACACTTCACACTCGGTATGCGTGGCAAGCTCCTCCAGCTTCCCGGCCCGACGACACATACACTGCGCACTATATCGCGGCCTGAATTTAAAAATATTATTTTATCCGTCGGCTTGCGAGCTGCGACTAGCGAGCTTGTATGGCGACGGCCGCGTACTAGAAAAGATGTAACTGGTCGGCTTCGCTGCCGCGGCACCTCGCTCGGCCGCCGTCGGCCGTCTCCGCGCACACTCGGCTCAATGAGAATGATTACGAGAGGTGACGTCACGCAGCCCCTCCCCCGGCCCCCCCGCCGAGCTCCGGCCATGCGCGGTCTGGGTGCACCTGCACCCGCTCAGGCCCTACTACGTGATCTCGATGGTCGTATTATACATATTTATAAAATGCATTATATTACATTATATGTGAAACTATCTTACGACGATGCGACACAATACGTATTAGTTTAAAGTACTAGGAACAAAACGTCAAGAAACAAAAATCAAAATAAATCTGCGAAATAATCCGAAAAGATAGTTTTATTTAAAATGTCAAATATTCGCGTAAATCTAAGAAAGTATTTACTAGGAACAAGTTGTAAAATTGTTAAAAGTATTTTTATCGAAACATTGTGAACGTAAAGTTGCCAAGCAACTTATAACGATTGGTAATTGTCCTCTAATTTTACTTTAACAATTAAGTTTACATGAAATTAAGTATTGAACTTGTAAATAGGCTGTTATTATTCCGAGTCGGGTTTTGTTCTCTGCAGCCGTAAACAATCCGCGGCGACTGCACTTTTAATGTAGGCCAGTTAAACAATGCTATTGTACATAGTGCCACTAAATCTAATAGTGTTCCACAAGATATATAAAATATTCAATATTCAAAATACATATAAAATTGTATTATGTATATATTCGTCGTCACAAGCAGTAATATGCTACAAACTGGGGCCTTTCGTCATTGATATTAGTGAACTTAAGCTGTTTCGTGTTATGATATCTATCTATAGTATAATAAAACTGTAGAGGTCAAATGTCTGTACATAGAAAAAAAATGCTAAAACCCGAGTCAGGGGGATGTAAGAAGACAAATAGAACAAATCCAGTTTTTTTTCAATTTTTTTGTTTCTCTGTTTGTCTGTTTGTACGGGCTAATCTCCGAATCTATTGGACCGATTTAAATGAAATTTTTCATAGTGGTACCTTATATCCCAGGGCAACATCTTAGATACTTTTCATCCCGGAAAATTAAAGAGTTCCCGTGGGATAGTTAAAAAACTATAGTAAGTTATACAGCTTAGTACACAACCACTTATGCACTTAATTTAGTAAAATTTGGCATGCTGATACCGTATATTGCCAGTCAAATAACAGGTTACTTTTCATCCTGGAAAAATGAACGGGATAGATCCCTTGGTGCTTTTTTAGAGGCGAACCCGAGCGTAGCGAGGGTGAGCCGCTAGCTTATAATAAAATTTCAAAGATTGCATTCAACATAAATCTTGTCACGTGGATTTTTTATATCATTTGAATTTGTATTGTATGTTCCTATCTTGTTATTGCTAATGCGTCGTCGCGTAGTTGTTTTTAAATAATAAATACGTGTAAAGTTAACTAAGGTTCAGTGATAGTATATGTATGTATATAGGCAATAAAGACTAAAGCGATTGATGGCCGATTTCCCAAACTAAAACCGTTATATTTTATTTTACATTTGTCAAATCGTATCATGTTGTATGTTGGTATATCATCAGTCCCTAGTTTAAAGATTTATTAAAATTGTAGTCCACAAATAGCAATAACAGATAAAAACGATAATAGGTAATTGCAGAAGTTAATAAACAGTGTCGCATTATTAACGCCCTCCATCAGCATAATTACAAACTATAGTAAATGAAAACCACCTTTCACAAAGTTTTCACTTTTTTATTTCATAGTTTTTAGTTTTAAGTAAAAAATATAAAAAAATGAAATAGTTTTTGTAATAAGTAAAAATAGTAATTTTAAGTTCTCGCCGCGGATTTGTATCGTGAGGCCAGTTTGGTTTCGGCCACTTTGATTTTCTTACATGCGCACTAAACTTTGATCAAGGTCTTGATGAAGATTGAAGATGTTTTTCCTTTGGCCCGTAGCTCGTATCAATAGGTCAGGCCGTTACACGTTTTAGTTTTATAAAAGCTACTAAACCGATTTTGATGAAATCTTCACTATTTCCTAGGTTGGAATAAATGTATGCAAATAAAAAAAGAATGATCACGATCTGATTATTAGTTTCGGAGAAATGCGTGTACAAACATACACCTATAAAATTATGAATATTTGTTTGGAAGCTCTAATAGGTTATCATAAGTGAATATGTTGCAGTTCTAATAATAGTACATATGTACCGACAATACGTGTCGAATTGATAACCTTCTTTTTTGTAGTTGGTTGAAATATATAATACTTTTTAGTAAAATTAAATCATTTGACAAAATTTAAATTCTTTTAATCAAAGCAAAAAAGGATAAATCGACACTAATAACAAGGTAAAGCAAGTTTACAATACCTGTTTTTAATTATGCCATTTGCGGTTATTCTATTACATAATTGTTATTAAAATCTATGTATTTATTGTTGTTGAAATCTATAACGTTATTAAGCTTATAAATAAATATGTTGGGACATTAACACACAGCACCAACTAGTTCCATGGTAAGATAAGAGGCTTGTGTTATGGATACCGGATAGTTGATACACTACACATATCTAAATAACTGTAAATACAGTCATATTATAATGATTAAATAACATTTCATTGTATTAACAAAAGAATTACTATTATTGTAAGGCAGAAATTGTAACATACGAGTATATACATATAATCGTTTATCAATTAAAAATACTCCTATGATTTTCACGCTGTTGATCTCGAGAAGTAATTGTTTATGTTTTCATATTGTTGAATATTATCGAAACGACCGATAAGATTGGAATGTTTCAAGGTGTCGATTGATTACGTATCGCAGATAAAAGTAGTAGTTTACGATCACAGCAAGGCCCAGGTTCTGGTTTTGAATGTGGCACATTTCACCTCTTCCTCATCTTCGCAGATAACAAATTTGACTTGTAAGGGCTATGCTAAAGATGGAGAAAACATACTTAGTTAAACGTTTAAAGTTTTTAAAGTACTCAACGGATCTTATTTTCATTGAAAGCTTAAGCATTGTTGCTTAATACAATCAAGCTTTTCTTTGATATACAAAATGTATTTATTTGAATAAACTTAACTGTTCTAGGTCTTGGAATTGTTTGGATTGAACTTAAGCGATTTGACAGGAAGAGCCGGCTCAATTTCACGTTAAAAGGCAGTGGGTCCGCGGAGAAGGGGGACGTTTAAATTAAACGCCCGCGCCCGTTGCAGCTGCGAGTGAAGGAAATATTGAATCTGCCTTGCCTTCTCCGAACGATCGAGAATACTTTGATTTTTGTCCGCCAGTTGCGCAATGTTTGCTACAAACTACAAATGGATTTTCTATGAACACGTTTCCTTTTTACGTGGTAAACTCCTCTTGTTTTCGTCCTAGGGGGACTTGTGGGGAGTACTGTGCATGGTACATACAACATTCACACACCATAAATTTGATAATTCATATATAGATGTGTGGATGAAAGGTATCCTTTTAGATATCTAAAGGGGAAATGAATGTTAAGTGATGAAATATAAAACTATTGCGGTGAAGTCAATGGACAACTGTTGTAAGCTGACGACAAGGTCCCGCGCCCGCGCCGGGCTGGCTTCAACTTAATATTAAGTCCTTTAGCGATATATCAGTAAACATAACAGTTAATAATCCGGACAAATAATAGAACCATAGGGATCGATGCGATAACAATATATTAGCACGCATTTTTTACGCGTCTAGACCCAGTATCGGATGACGATAATGTAACTAGTATATTGTTACTGGCACTGCATCAGAGCTGTGCGGCGGCCGCGGGCAGCACTGTGCATACCATTCTCATTCTTATCACGTGCGCTATTCGGTACAAAACCGCAATTATATTATAAAATGTCGCCATATTTCAAATAGCGGTCCTGCGGGCAGTGATTAAGTAAGGGCGGCTGCAAATTGCAACAATATTGCGAGTTGCAACATACCTACTACATTACTTATCATAAAACATGTATGAATATTAAATATATTATATTCGTACATAAAGGAGATGTATACTGCATAGTTTCAAGTATCAGATGCGTCGTTGCTGTTTAATTAACGTAAACCTAAAATGCGCGGTTTGGTCGTGAGTTACTCTGAACTACCAAATACAATAATAGTATTTTTAGTATATTTAATACATGAACATTATGATTCTTGAATCTTAATTTTAGGCTGTGTTTCGTTACGTTCAGTTGAGGATATGAAAATAATATTATTCGTTATGTTGGTATGATTGCAATGAGATCAGTACGTTGACTTAATGGGCGCTGAACATATTATGTTCCATTGCATAAGTTCCCTAAGTAAAGTGTGTGACTGTGGTGAGTGATGGCAGCGAGGCGCGGCGATGGCGACAAAGCTTCGCGGTCAAGGTCGCTTCATCTCATTGTGACGAGCGGACCGCCCTTCGGAGGCGGGACAATGGCTGAGATATACACTTGATTGAAATTGACCAACGTTATGGTATTCAAGAGCGGTTGCGACTTTCGGAACGTGGATACTTGAACGTGTCGCTCAAAAAGACATTATTTTTTAATCAAAGCAAGCCGTTTCCGTAATTTGACGATTATATACATATTTTTGTCTCTTCATCAGAAATGAAAAAAGAATATTAATAATATTTTGGATAGCCATATTTCAACAATCGTTTGTAATTATGAAGAAAATAAAAATACAAGGTTAATAGGTATTTTAAAGACATCTTTTGTTTATTTTTATTTTTAGTGAAACATTTTGTAAGGGGAAGCCATGTTCTGTAAATTGGATCTATTTTGTTTGTATTTTTCTTTTACTTGCGGAAATGTTCGTTACGAGTGCTCGGTAATTACTTACATCCTCCTCTTTCCTTTAATAAGCGAGTAATAGGTTAAGCACGTAGTCCACCAAGTGATTATAATTGATTCCGACTTGCGAGTACATAGATAATGTTTCATGCAATAATATAGTCTGTGGTATTACTAGTAATTATAATTATTCAACTGTCGTAATAAAATTTATTTTATCGTTGCACATTTAATAAAATCCACGGAAGTCGAGAGTCGGATTCAGTCAATGTCGGATTGAAAACTCGTTATCACTAACGAAACCATAACAAATATAATCACAATCTATTGTAGTTATTAGATGAAACCCTATGATAGAAACAATTATCGGAATGAGTGAGGAGCGTGAATTATTTTTTTATACAGAACATTGGATTGCCTGGTTAGATGGTTCGGGGCTCGCGAGTTTGCAACAATGCGTCTCGATTCTTGTTACAATGAGCTTGAATAGGCTTGAAAATGCTCGCGTTCCATGTTACCGAAGATTAATACGGCATTGTGCGATTGCAGATTAAAAACATTTTTTTACTTATAAACAATTTTGTATTCATTATGTAAGTACCTACTTTTGGTTTCGGAGCGTTTCGAAAACTATATATACTAACTTAAATTAAATTAATAAAAAATAAATAAAACTAAATGAGACACATGTAGCCGATTTGTGGCTCCTTTATTGTCTAAATACATACTCGGCCGGCGGATGCCGGGTGGGCCGACTAGACGCTGAGTTTGCGTCTCTCTTATTCTATGTAAATCTTAATCTAAAGCGGATGGACGAGGTGTAACTATAACTACCTACTATTAAAATTTTGCGTATTGGTATCCTATTTTAGTTATCATTATTATTGCCGTTTATTTAGAGCTTCATCCAAAACGTAAAGAAAAAGCACGCAAAATCTGCGTATTGTAATGTCACGTCCCATTATATAACATCATTCTAAAGCCCAATTCACCGTGAGAAATGTTTTTCGCCATGTTCTCACGTTGATAAAAACGAGCATTAAATGCGCTATGAGTGTTCGGTGCGGCGTGCTGGCAGTTGTAGACAGGACCAGGCTACTTTGCGTTACTTTGGGGCGGGTCAGTGCCTTTTAATGGAATAATAAAAGCTCACCACCACCAACGCGTCACGCGTGGAACCTTAACTACAATAGACACAACTTGTAGTAGGTAGCAAATATACTACTAGCCTCTTATAATATTGAATAATCTTAGAATAACATTTTTTTATTTCATGTAGGTACTGGACATTTTTAAACGTTTATTAAAAATAGTTTTAATTTTTTTCGTGTCCGTCCTATTATAAATACACGTGTGATGCTTTTCTTACGAATAAAAATAAGACACAGGCGTTGATAGTAATTCTTACTTCTCTTTACTTATAGCAAATAAGCTAAATCTTTTTGGCAATTTGCCCAAAATATTTTGTCATTAAATATTACAATTCTGAAATTATTAATTAATGAATGTGTGTAGTGTGTTAGTATTACCTATTGTTTGCTTCAACAAACCTCACATTGTCTTACTTTCAGTATTTTTCATCACGAACTGTTTTGTTTATTTCGTTTTGTTTTGCGTGGAGTCGTTGACTCTTTGGCAACGGTTGCGCAGTCGTTAGGATGTGCATGAGTTGTACTTGTTTATGTGAGCAGCATGCGGTGCGTGCACGTGCCGACTGCCGCATGATGGGTATTTGCACATGGGGTGTTATGGGTTTGTAAACAAGAGCTACAGTTGTTAATGTACTTGATATTAATAGGCCAATGTTATATTATAGAAACTACTATTTAGAAATGGATCTTTATAATACTCCTTAATTACGAAACAGTTAACTGTTATACTATTTGGCCTCTGATGTACTGCTTATATAAAATATGTGTTCAGTTCTACTTGTTGTGCAGGTGTACGCGTCGCCGAGCCGCCGCAAGATGGACACGAAGGGCGAGGGCGAGGAGATGACCTACCCACATATCTGCTTCATGGTTGACAACTTCGATGAGGTACGTATGATACGGCTTGACACATATAGTAATTAATTCTTAATAAGCGCTAATTTGAAAATAGACATCAGAAAAGATAGTGATCGTAGATAGATTTTACTACATTGTGGCTAAAGTTATACCTTTAAGAAAATTTGCTTTTGGGGAATGTGTTGTTCTATGTATCTTATTTTTTGTCTGGTTTACATTTATATCGTAAAGAAAACTGAATTGGATATCTAATTGTAAGACATAGTTGTTTACTACACAAAATATTACTTGAGAGTCGAGCATTCCATTTTGCGCGCCCGCTGAAAGTTCAGAATTAGAACTGAGAACAAATATAAAAGAAATGACAAATTCTATTTGTGTTGATTGTTGATATCGTTTCTAGATGCAAAGTTTGTGTAGGCGATGAAATATCTCATACGTTTTATGATCTCATTCGATTTGAGGCGCTTACTGTCTCGGAATGAGCGCGCGGTGGTTGACAATGTTTTGGCAAACGATCGTCTTTACTAGCACATACAATACAGTATGTCCGAGCAAAACTAAAAAATAAATACTTTAAAAGTAGTATGTACTTGCGGCTTTTACTGTTTTAATAAACTAAAGGTTTCTTAGAAACAGTTTTAAAATATCCATAACTTCAATAGTTATGACACTTTTGTTTATACAATGTAGCAACATAAGATAAACATACCATATTATATCTATTTAACATATAATATGTATAATCTTACAGGGGGAGGTACATTCCTAATGTTACATTATCCAAATTATAACAATGTTATGTTATCTTTTCACTTAATATTATAATATGTTTAAAAGTGAAAACAATTTAAAACGACTGCACAAATAACAATAGAACTTTTTTATTTCGTAATCTTAACTTCATAAGTAAACCCCAGTCCCCATAATAACGTCAATTTATAGTTAAGTTCAAGCGGAGGATTCAATGTACAACACGTATCTACATAGTGAGCTCATTCAACTCTCAACAAATTCGTTTTAGAACGCCTGGAAGATTTAACACATTATATTACCTACTCGCTTCGCTCGGGTTCGTCCTTAGGTGCGTTCGAACAGTTAGTATGTATTAGGTAGACTATATAATACATATATGATATATAGCCTATAGCCTTCCTCAAAAAACGTGCTATCTAATGCAAAAACAAATGTTCAAATCGGATAAGTAAATAGTTTCTGAGGTTAGCGCGTTCAAAACAAACTCTGCCTGTTTATAATATTATTAGTATAGAATATAAATTAAAGGAATTTTAATTCTATACCACGTTTGGTTACGAATCGTTGATGTATTTATAACACTTATAATTGATAAGTATGTATTAAAATCACGAGCTATACTAGCATTGCCTGCGACTCCGCCCGCGTTCAAATGACCAAGATCCAAATTCTTAGGTTTTACATATTAGTATACTCTTACATTGAAGTTTTCGTATTTTTCTCAGAAATTAGACATTTTCCCGCGGTAAAAAGTATCCTATATGTTGACCCGGATAACCAGCTATCACTATACTAAATATCATCAAAATCCCTCCAGTGGTTTTTCTGTGATGCGGTAACAGACAGACAAAAATTCTAAAAACTATAGATTCGGCCTCTGTATCGATAATAAAGTCTATTTCAATAAGATTTTCCATAAAATATTTAATGTACAGATTCGGCTTAGTTACAATTTTATTATATGTATAGATATGGTGTGGTCGATTGTTTTCATTTCGAGGAAGAGCGAGTGAAGCTGATAGCATACGCGAATGCTTCGAATGTAAACCGGAAAGCCCGCGTCGGCGACGAGCGCGGCGGGACGATAACGTCTTTTGTAGTGGCCGGCCAATTCCCTAACGTAGCATGGCTTTGCTGTGGTGCTATTATTAATTTATGACCCACATTTGTAATTTATTAAAGCATTGAATTTTACTCATACGTAAAATTTAAATAATATTTTTTTATAATAAAATTTAAAATGTTAATTGTTACATAACGAAGCGACCTCCAGGCGGCACCCGAAAATTAGAAATGCACTTGACATAAATCTTAATCATCAAGGAGAGTAGGAGTAAGGAGAGTAGGTGATGTCTCAACGTCCGCATTGAAGCATCTGAAATACATTGTTTACATGTTTCAGCGGGCGTGCTCCGGGCGGCCAGCGAAAGTGAAAGTGCCACGCGCTGTAAATTAAATAGCTACTCAGTCGCGTTCATGATTGTAAGACACTTTCGTATGTCGCTCTTTTATTACAGCTGCAAACACAATCATTCATTTGGGATGTTACGTTGATCCCGCACAGTTTTGAGAGTAATGTCTATTTAAGGAATGACACATCATACATGCTGCGAGTTAGTGGGCGTACGCGTTTGCGAGACGTTAACTGATAGATTTGGACCACTTACACACTAGTTTTTCGGATCTTTAAAGTAATATCGACTAAGTATAATACATCGTTTTAGTTTGACAGTCGTGACTTGACCGATAGCTTTATAGATCCAGGTATATATATATATATATATATATATATGTGTGTGTGTGTAAGAACACTTACATAATACCATTATTTTATGAGGTCAATTAGTATTTTCCAGTCAAAGTATGCCTTGACACTTAATGAGATTAAAATTGCCTCACAGCGATGTCTCCAGGAAGCCCTGATCTTATTACTTAATTAAGAACGAAGCTATTACTTTCCGTTGTCGCTCGTAGGTTGGTACTCTTTTTGCGATGTGCTTTTATATTTATAACGACTTGTTTATTTCGTCATTGCCGAGTTAGCGCAGACATGGTGTCACGATATGTTTTAAATAAGAATAATTACCTTGTAATTTTTAATGTAAGGACGAAATGAGCTTCTTAGCACTTAACCAAAGCCATAATTTCTATAATACACCAGGTATTTTATTTTACTGATTGGGTGACATTAACAGAAATTGAAGGTGGATGAACTTGACCGATTTCTACGAGGTCGGGGCTCGGCTCTTTGTTAACTGATGCTTTAGAATATCTAAAATAGTTCAAACGTTATACCTATGTACTTTATTAAAGACATCCTAATAATAATACAAGTAAAAATTAAATGCAAAAATTTATTTGTTGATTTTTCGCCATTAGGCGAAGCCCAAAGGAGGGCTGTGTTTGACCTGTATGTATGTAATATGTATGTACGATTCATGTTTTTTCATTGTATGAGTATAATACTATATTCTGTCGTCAACTTGTTCCCATTTTTTTAGTTAGTTTTTTTACATAGTGGGGTTTTTTATTTTTATATTTTTTTTATATAAAGTAACAGTGTCGATATATTTCGTACATATAGTAGTATACCTACAAATTATATTGGGTTTTTTATCAAGCAAGTTATACTGGTATATTATTTGGTGTATTCTTGGACCCTAATATGAAAATTATACAAGTATTTCAATGATCTGTGCTTAGACACGTAGTTCCCAGCGCGCGCCGCCGCGCCGGTGCGCGTGTCCGCGTCCGCCGACGTGACCGTGCCCTTGACGTCAACTCAGAAACAAAACTGGTATTTGGAATAACTTATTTTGTACCGATGAGGCTGTGTTCTAGGATGAAGAAATAATTATATCTAATATTGATTACATCTATTTAGGTATATATTCGTAGGTACATATGTGTCTACCTCGCTAATGAGGTAAGTCCTTTAGATGGCCAAATTGTGGGTTAAAAAGAAATGTGATTCCTAATACGAGAGAATGATAATTCATTTCGATTTTTATTGTTCCGATTCTTGATTGTTCCCCAAGTTGTCCACAGTGCAATGTGCACTGCGACGCGCGTGACACGAAATTAATTGCATTTGTATTTTGAATTCTCTTTCTCCAGCGATAGAAACTTTTATTTAGATTCAACGTTACTAAACTAGTGACTTGCTTTAATCAGATCTAACTACAGTCCACGTGTGCGTTAGTACCTGACTTGCAATACCCTTATAAGTATTTATTAGAACTACTCAATGTGCTTGGACCAAAAGTACAAACTTACAAATCAACAAACACTTGCTCATATTTATAGTAGTATCCTCATTTAACATCTTATTAATATTGTTGTTAATACATGGTTTGCTTCCCCTTTTCCTTATCTCAGCTTTTTTGAGGTTAAAATTACAATAGGCTTTAGCAGACTTAAAAATTTTAGCCACCAAGTCCAGTGATTACATTTGGGCGAACAAAAAAACAATCTCTTCAGCTTAATAAGATAGGTACGCTTACTTTAATAAAATTTAAATGGTACTTAGTACTTACTATTTATACGCAAAGCTATTTATGCAGCAATTAAATGTATATTTTACTTTTTAGAAAACCAAGACATTGTAAGTATATTTTTATTTAAAATGTATTCTTAATTTATTACTTCAGGGCTATTCAACGGACGCTGTTTTATATGTTTTATATTTTACATCGACAAGAATGTAGTTTTGTAATACGTAGATATGTAACCGGTATTATACGAGCTTGATTTAAAATTATACCAACTTATTGTCAGTCTAAAATTCAAGTTATCAGAGTCTAAAATATGTTAGCAACACTAGTTAGACTCATATTAATAGCCATTCCGGAGCACTTCGTATTTTTAATTAAGTGCTTATAATAAGTCTAATTGAATAAAGTTTATTTCATTTCATGAATGTACTTATTTGACTTCATATTATTCATCATTGCTTATATTGATATTTGATGATCACAAATTGATGTAATTTTAAATGGCGAGTATTAACGCATATATTTAATGATATTAATTACTCGGGGTATGTTGTGCTATAGCTTTTATTTTAAATACGTTAAACGTGGTCTGCGGTTATTGTGACGTAAAATGACGAATCTATAATAAATAACTGACTCATACGCGTACTTATTTATGTATTTAATTGTTCAGTGGAATCATTGTATTACGACAAATCTAGATTATTTTATATTATGTAAGATATTTTTCCAATGATTGAAGAGACGGTCACGTGCTCGCCCATGTGAGACGCGACTCGC